CCAGCGGCAACAACAACGCCGACTAAACGCATAAGACGAAAGTGGACTCCATCCAATAAGAGAGAAAGGGGGAATTTTTCGGCTCTAGCGAAGGGCGAATAGCCAGCAAGACTGGCAGACGGCGTAACGGTCACGCGAACGACACGTGCATCGAATAGTTCGGTGCACTGGCGGGTATGTTTCGGAAATACTTCCCGTCCACATGCTGTAAACACGTTGGTTCTAGTGAACGACACCCATTGCGCTGCAGCAGTTACTAAGGTATGGTCTGAAAATTGTATCGTGGAACACTGCTGATTCTCTGTCCTCGAATGCATGGATAAAAAAACTTTCTATATCTATAAAGGTTGTGTAGTGATGTGCTCTTGGCACAAATATATGTACGTACACTTGTATATAACTTCTTATTGATGCGGTTTAGCTTGCAAATTGAAGTGGCGCGCAACGGGAGAGTTTAAATTTGAACCGTCGATGGATCATGTCATGTCGACAATGCGATTTAAAAAGACAGCGACAGATTGATTCATAGCCGCGTCTCCGTGAAATCATAACTGTATTACACGTAGACCCAGGATGTTTACATTCCCACACAGGAAGTTTGTAGAACTTCCTCCTCGTTAGATTCCCGTTCTGCAGGAGCAGAAATATACGTAATTGAATAGTTTACTAACGAAGCTTTTGTATTAAATCAGTTGACACAGCATGCGTACGCACAAACGATTCTCCTAACGTTAAATGTTGTCCTTTTTTTCTCTTTAATCAAACTTCGATATCGACAGCCTTGTCGGCCAGTATGCCCCCTGAATCTGAACATTAAGCCGCAGTAAACTACATACTACTGCGAGTGGACGTGGTGGACAATGTCTTGCTTTTCCTATCGATGGCCAGAAGTGCCATAATGTTTTACTTCTTTCCTGAAGAAAGAACGAATCGTCGCAGTGAAATCTTTCATGGAGAGCGACGTCTGAAGCTAGCTATCGACAATATATTATTGTAACATATTGACCGCCTGTTCATTTACTCGTGAGTCATCAAGGAGTACCTTTACAACGTTTCTAAAGCTTCTTCGTGTTTAGCTTCGCTTAGAGTCCGCAAAGAAGCATTGTACAACCGAGTTAGAAATGCATGGAACATTAATATTTTGTATTACAGCGCTAACGATCTACCGGGCCGCACATGGTCGAAAATGGTGACGATATTTTGTTATTATTAAACTTCTGGCAACGTTTGTTTTTTCTTCTGGCAACGTGCTTTTAACCAGGTACAGCTTACACTCGAATGTGTAACTGTTTCAGTTAAGGCTTTAGGCGTATAGGTGGTTTTTGTATCTTTTTAAGTAAGTAATTTATAGTGTTCGCCATGCGATACTAGAGATTCAGAGGAAGGAAAACACACTGAAATAATCCTATTTTAAGAGATATCGTTGGTTAGCTAGACAAAATATGGTACCCGTAGGCTATTACATATCAGCCCGTTCCAACGGTCATGTTCGTCAAAAACGTATTTGGCTAAGCTGTTATCTCTCTCATTCTCCTTAATTAGCAGCTAAGAGCCATAGTATTTCTTGCCGATTGACCAAAACAACACAGTGGTGGTCCAGGTTTGAAGATGGGCCTAAACCCATTTCGATCCCGTAAAAAGCCAAACAATAAGGAAGGTGATGTATCGAATCTCTCAAAAAGGTCAGCTAACAATCAGCTATGGGAAAAAAAACAATACGTAGTCTGTATAAAGCCGGTTCGGTAAAGCGGTTCGACATTGTGGCGGGCAAATATCAACAACTCAATGTAGAAAATGACCCACGAACGTGGGTCCATTTACGAATCGTCGATGACGACTATTCATCTGGTTGTGATTAGTTTGTGTTTTGGCTTCATCATTGTCTTATGGAATAACGAACATATTCTAAGACGCTCGTTGTTGGCCGTGTCCACATTTTTCCAATATAAATAACAATCAGTCCACATTCTTATTTCCTACCTTTCCCTCTGGCTCTAACTGTTATTTTACGGTAAATAAATGGTGGACTCGTTCAATGTATCCTATTGCAGAAATGTATTTTACAACAATCAGCCACGTGAAACAAGTAGATCACGTATATAAATTCGGTAGAAAAGCGTGTCACTGTGGCGCCTACCTTCTTGTCAGGGTCATCCAATATGCAGATTCGTAAAAAATACATACGCAAGTACCTACAGAGGTAGTTTAATACGACATGGTAAAAGCTTTACGGGTCAAAAAGTAAGCAACCATACGTTTTTGTGGGTCGCTTGAAGCCAACCGTGGGACAGCCATAGTGGCCAGATAAACGGTAAGAGCGCCAGATAGAACGATCTATTCTCTATCTAATATAGGCAATGACTATGCCTGCTTCCCAGGCCAACAGTGATGTCCGTTTTTGATCCACGCACGCATGTTTGACGTAAGCTGAATGCCGAATCGGTCCGCGTATGCCTATCAGACGTCGGCCGATAGCCAGCCGCCCTGATGTACCTAGGTCCCTTAGCTAAAGAACAGTGAACACATTTAGCATCGGTGGATGAGTTTGAAGAGTTGCTGTTCTCAGGCAGATAAACAGTGATGCTATACATTTCGAAACGGTAGTGCTATTTTACGCGTAAATGGTCGAGTAGCTGGTTTGTGGGAGATATTCGAAAGGAAGAATCGATAAACAAATTGTGAGTACGCCTAATTGAACTGTGTATGTAATTTGTATGATGTTAGTATGCCATCACATACAGGATACATTAATGCTACGCTAAATCTTATATATACAAGTACGCTGCATAGGATTTCGGGGCATCATGCCAGCCCACTTCGAGATCATAGAGAAGAAATTAACCCATCAAAATCTCGTTCAGCTAGAACTATGCTTTTCCATTTGAGGTAACGTTCCTTGTCGAATGTGCCACATAACAAGCAGTACAATTGTTGGAGGAGAACCCCCACCCCTGACTCAGGTCTAGAAACCGTACCGACACACTTCCAGATTCTACCAGATACAGATCCCTTTGACCGCACGGCACAAAGTAGCGTGTAGCACCTTCATTTTTTTATACCCTAGAAAATGTGTTCTATTGATGTATAGTCGGTGAATGGTACAAGCATCACACCCCTATTTTTCGGCCTGTTCACTCCCTTTGATTGTAGCTTGATTCAACACTAAACTGGTCCCCGAGAAGCAATAGGAACTGGAATCACTGTTTCTGCCAGTAACAGGACGGTGTCGGGCGAGACCTTCATTTCTCTCCGGTGAGCCTATTGTCCATCGTTCTATTAAACGACCACTGCGGGTCGCCTGTTACAATCGTTCCATTTTTGTGACCGTTGCTACTGTAGTTGACGCCGATTCAATTCTCGACAGTCCTCAAGTTGGTAACCCCCGCCGCTGCTCATGGGGTCCTCAGAGTATGCTTCTGCTACGGCAGCTGCTCATGGTACTAGCGGTGGTTTCTGTACAATTGTTTGCTGGAAAATGCCGAAAAAATAGTCCAAACTTACACAGCCGTCTCATACTGAGGAGAAACTGACTATCCGGCTGCTAGCTAAATAGCGGAACTGAGCAATATTTGTTTTTGCGCCCTAATGGTTGCAGGAGCACAAGGTCAGTATCAGTAGTACAATGGAGCAATGACGACACTGTCAGAGCCTTAGTTTTGATTACGGCCGGACATATTTGTTTGTCCGTAGTTCTCCATAGCAGAACGTATCGGTTGAAACGTTACCTGTGTAACTCGGTGTGTCCCTGAAGCTTTAAGCGTTCAGATTATTGAACTTAGTACAAATAGAGTGAAGGAGCTGTCTGCCCGTAGACAGTTCGAAATGCGTCGTTGGTTCCTCTAGATCTGTATTTATTGATAGACATACAGATTGGTACAGCTGTGATGCGACATCTAGAATTAACATGAGGGGTCTCACTGTACATGGGGAAACGCATTATATAAATAAACATATATAACATAAACAGCAAGAGATCGTGCAACGGTACCAATAAATTGCACAAGTGTGCTATGACAAGTCATTGCGTAAAATGCTTTGTTTTTTTTTTTTAAATAAAGTGCGTTAGTGAAGTCATTGAACTATTAGTCTAAGCAGATGTTACCTTTTTGTTTTTTGAATGTCCGGAGAACTTCTTCATCTTGCCACTAGATATACCTTCTAAAACAATTTAGCATCACAGATTATGTCCTATTGTGAACAAACGTTGCGTCTCACTAGATTTAACGCGGGTAGGTTCTTGATAACAGCACAAACTAAGAGCATGCTAGATAGAATGTTTAGACAATATATTTAATGCCAACCTTTCGAGTGTGTGCCGTTTCGAAATGCATTTACTGAAAGTAAATTTACTTGACTTCTCCGCGGCCTTGTACACTCTTGGACCTATTGGACCTACCTAACATGTACTTGCCAATGTAGGCAGGGATCTTCAGTTTAGTTTTTCGTTAGAAACAATACAAACAAAAGTTATACGGCCCAACACATTACAAACGGACGTTTTCGTTACCTTTTTTTCGTGCCACCGCATTCTGTTCTCGTTATTGAAATATTATGATTACAGCACGGTTTAAAGGACTGTTGCAGTATGAAATAGCCCGTAGACGTAACCTGCATAAAATCAGGGAATTAGAAAACAATCTCAATTTGTGTGTCCATGTTGCAACAACGGAATCTAATTATGCGCCAGTTCAAATCATCTTCACTGACAAGTTGTTGTAAGTTCGCTTGGTTACCTTAACTTAGGTCTTGATTTTTGTTTGCCGTATCTGCAGATACGGTAATTTTTTTTTATCATCATAGTCCCTTTAGTGAACATATGACGGAGGTCCATGCTTCGCTAAATTGCCAAGTTTACTATACCCGGGAGTCAAGCCCAATTGAAAAATAATCTGATGAAACTCACAGCGAGTGCATCCCATCACTTGAAGTCCATATAGGTTGCAAATGGTATATTCTTTCAGGTGCAATTCTTAAATAACATGCAAGTAAGTACAATCGTATAGACTTTTCTTACTAAAATACGTCATTATTTATTTTCCCATACATTCACAAAGTTTATTTTGGTCCTATATATAGACAGTAGGTAGTATAGGTGAGATTCAGTGTGCCTTAAGACGCATTTTGAAAGACTGTCGGGTTGAGATGGCCCCCTGCCCGCACTTGGGAAATGTGGGCCGTACGCATTACCACTAAACTTCGTTCTTTCTTGTTGAAAGTTCGATAGTAAGTTTTTGCGATAGTATTACTAGCGATTCTGTGTATTGCATTACTTTTATGGTGGAATATAGTCAATCTCGAGCATTTCCACAATGTAATATTAAAACCACAGGCATTTTGTACACATTCACACAAGCGGCCCTTTCGAATCTTCGTTTGGACCGAAATAAACGTCTCTTGCTTTCGTCCTGTCAACCGAAAATTCAAACGGCGTCATTCATCTCCAAAGTGAGAAGGGTTGATCGTTCGGTAACCAACTAAGAGCTATTCAGTATGCACCTCTTGTCCATCTATTCTTATTCACCAGCAGACATCTTTCACTCCATTCAATATACCACATATTCCATTGGTTCTGCTGTAGCAATTCTGCTATTGACTCCGATGATCCCCTGCCATCGTGTGTATTTGTACTAATTTGCTCTTTCGGTCTTTCTTACTCGGTCTCTATGCAATGTTTTTTTTTTTCTTTTTGTTTTTTATTTGATACAGGGTATACTTTATAATTGCCGCAAACCGTTCTCGATCATTCTCGCGCTCAATTAGTGTCATTTCAGTTTACGGGTGGCGGCTGTTTAAACGGTGCTAGTATTTGAATCATTTTCTTTGTTGAGCAAGCGCGAACCGTCGGTCGTGGAGAACTCCTTGGAAAGTTCTTGCAAGAAGATACGATAGTGAACTGGATGCATATTCTTCGATAGCATATAGACGAGGAACCAGTCGGTGGCGCATAGACGACGCATTACAGTATCGATGGTTCGGCGGTCGGTGATCCTAGCACGATTTTTTAAAAGCGTGTGACGCAGTCGGGGCATCATTATCGTGCCGAGTCGGTACCCAACGGCGACGCCGCTTCCGAGGGCTAACAACACCCACCAAAACCAGAGGAAGATATAGATCTTCTCGTTAATGATGTTCTGCGCAAGAATGCAGAGCGCATCATATTTTTGCACGTCACCCGAAGTACCGAACATATGGAACGCGCACTTCGTCAGTCGAGGGAACACACGAGACATCGGATCATTTCGAATTTCGGGGTTCATTTCGTCGTACTTCAGGACATCGGTGCCAAACGTAGTAAACATATTGCCGAGGAAGTTGTCCGTGATGAGAATCTGTGCGACGACGTTAACGAAATTGAGAAACTCGCAGAATACGTAAGCGTAGAAATAGCATGCATGCAATCCCAAATGTGTGCTAATGTATTTTGCTACAACGCCTGCTTTACTACAAACTTCCGCGCGGTCTTTGACAGGACAGTCAAGATCTTGGGTAAGACGCCGGACCAGTCCACCTTCGTAGAGCTTCCAGATCCAGTGAGGCGCATAGAAGGTTACTGCCTGAAGGAACAGTACGAAGCAGACCCACTGGTAGTACAAGAAATATTTTCTAGGTTGTCCTGGTGTAAATTTATCGATTCCGCTGTATGGTACTCCTTTAGGTCCAATTGATTTGTTATACGCTTCAGGAAGATTGAACGTGCCGTGTAGCCAGCAGAAGGTCTTGAGTACATTGTTAGGAATCGAGTCGTGTTGTACACAGTTGATTGGGTCACCAAAGTATTGTGTTGAGGTGACTAGTATACTGAAAAACACTAGCAGTAACGTGGTCGCATTATAATGAAGACGGAAGATCTGGTTGTCAATAACAATGCGATGGATTTTCACCGCACGGCCCAAAGGGCCGGCCAACATGTAAAACATGGCTAGCTAATTAGGGGGCGGCTATGCGCTTCTTACGCTTTAGTTTTAAATTACTGCAGCCACAGCCCCTCCGTCGCACAGTCTGGTGACCAATGAGAGAGGGGTATTTTTTTTTCTTTCTAACAAACAATGGACAGTGCAGCAAGGGGGACACGTGCGATTTCTCCCACTATCGTCTCCTGTTTTCGACAAACTGTTTTTTGAAACACTCTACTGACTCACAAACACTGTACAAATTCCCATACAACGAGACCAATCACGAGTGTGCTTTGCTCTTCTGTCGTTTATTTTCTACGTCCGAGAGCTACCTCTCTTACTCCAACATGTTCCATATGGGCTACCTGCAACTTTGGCAATGTTCAGGCACCCGGCAACGCCGCGATGTCACATATGATCAGTCGGTTGACTGGTTGGTTGCTTATTTCCGTTGTTGGTTCGTGCACGACTCATCGGTCTCCCCTTGAGCGCTTATCGAGCGTTGTTTATTCGTTCGACAGAATCAGCAGCACCGTCTTTCAGGGCCGTTCACTACCGCCAGATCTGAGCGGGCCCGACACGGCCATGTTGAACGAGGGCCGTGGAGAGGGACGTGTTCAAATCATCGCGTCGGCGGCTAACTTCGCCGCCGGCGACCGTGGCGCCACCCGACGGTAGAGAACTTATACTTTGTTAAAAAACCGAACGAACTAACGAAAGCAGACCTACTAGCGCCGCCGTTGCTGCCGCCGCTACCGCTGACGTCGACGCTACGTTCTGCTTCCGATTGCCGAACCGCGACCGTGCAGCGACAGCACTAAGGGGAACAAGAGAATTACTGGAGAGGGACCAAGTACACGTATCGACGCGTACCCGAATAGATGTAGGTAGACTGCGCGAACGACAACGATGTATCGTGGAATTTTTGCAAACATTAATTGTCTTGGTTAATTAGTAGTTTGTTTGCTTGGCCGATGGCAACTGATCGGCTTGGGCTTCCCTGTTTGAATAAACCATCACACGGAACAGGTGATTACTACGTATCAAACGCCTTTTGTTGCAAGCGAAGGACGACAGCGAGGACCAGGGGAGGAGGGGGGGGGGGGGCGGGTCAAACGGGGAAGAGCGGTGTAACCTTCTAAGAAGCGAGAATGTGCTTTGAACGTAACATTCACTTCGAATAGATGTGTACGGATTCTGAAGACCTAGCGTGTCTAGCCGCTGCATAGGGTAGAGTTCATTCGCTGAGATATAAATGTGCATTAAAAACGGGTTGCTACAATCTCTTACCATTATTAGTGCGTAGTATTACTGCTGCTATTATTCAGGTTCTGCATGAATGTACCGGTTAACTTGGTAGAGAATAAACGAGAGCGAAATGAGTATGGCCAAAAGAAGCAACCTCACCACACGTCAACATCAAAGTCAATCTAAGGCAGGTATCATCTGTTTTGTTTATTTGTATACGGAGTCACCGAATACGTAGCATCTGTTAAGTGTCATTTGGCAGAACTCGGCAGCTGTGGAGCCACCGCAGAAAAGGCGTTCTTTCGCCCTACGTTGCCTGAACAGCAAAATTTATAAAGTAGACTTCGAAATAGAGCATCGAAATTGTTCACCTAGCCACGAAAGTCACCAATGGTAAAAGGGCAGTGGGAAGCCGTACAATCAACAACTTAGTCAACAACTAGTTCGTGTTTTCCCTTCCACATTCTAGTGTATGATGGACGTTTTTTGGATGTTTCATTCCTTTGTATTTAGAGTTCCGTTGCCACTTTGCACTCCGCCTCTTGTACGCATCTTCTTTTTCCGTGATCATCAATCTGATGATAAGTGACGTTCCATATTCTATCCGCCTTCTATAAAATCTTGCACGAAATTACTAAATATGGTAAACTGAATCATTTGCATGGTGAAGATGATGATTCTTCGCGCCCGCCTCTAAGGTGTAGTCCTCTCCAACTGAATTTCATGTTTTTACCCATGATTTAAGCGATTCGTCCGAAGACTGCTTCTCGCACTGGCCATGCCGCTCATATTCAACGATTCGTTGACATCAGGCGACGTATGCATGCATGTTCAGGGCGTTTTATGAAAGCAGCAACTTCACGCCAATGATCGAGCTTTGGCTTAGCCTCGATTTTGCGACATGTTTTGATAGCCTGAGGACTTCACGGCTTGTACGCAAAACGGGATTGCCGTGAAGTGATCTTTACACCGTCCACGGCTCATATAGCATCATATGGATATCTACGGCGGTTCTTAGCGTGTCTCACAATACGGATCAGATGGCGACCAGCCAGTTTCTGCTCTGTTGAAATCGCTTGGCTTAGCTGTGTCATGTTGAGGCTGATGATGACGCGTGGGCCGTAAGCTAAAGCGGGCCGGGGCCGGTAAACGACAGATGGCCAGCACTCCACTGGTGTAGAAACAGCACAGATGACAAGTTTAGAAACTTGGCGCCATAGCTGACTTTACACATGCCAATATACGTATGTCGACATTATTTAGATGATTATTCCGCATAACAGCTATCACAATGACTATGCAAAGTTATCGCTATCTTTTCTATATTTGCTACTGAAGCTACTGCCATTCGGCAAAATCTCCGCAAGCGTGTTGTTGACTCCGTGAAGTAGTTGTCACCGGCACTGACGAACGAACGCTAACGGGCCCAGCATCAGCTCAATCGCCATAAGCTCGCCAAGTAAACTGCATAAGATAACGGCATATGCAAACAAACGTATAACAGTACACACTGTGATCTTGCGTATCCAACAATTGTTGATGCTACACGCAAGGGACGAGCGGCAGTGAAATTTACTGGCTGGCGCTGGCATAATATGAGTCGAATCATCTTCTCAGCCGATGGAGACAGCTGCAATGACAATTACATCCGCTAAACGTGGATAGCCTGTTAAACCGGCCCCCTGGTAGGTCATCACTAGAACGGCAGGGGAGGCACTCAACCAGCTAAGCCAAGGTAGTGTGTCTTCTAAAAGCTGATGGTAATTGTTCGCGCTGTTTTGGTAACTGAAGTCACTTCAGTGGGTTTGACAATCACCAGACGTAATGGCAGTGATAGAACGCTGCTAACATCGTTTCGCTATATCCCTCAACAAGACTTTTGTTGGCTACCTGCACATGGCCAAGACTAACGGCAAGAGTGTGAAATTACATGTATGATACCTACACAGTAAACTGCTGCAAAATTTCTCCTCCATTTCACGGATACCCACTTGGCGCGTTCCCTCGGTACTGATCGAGTCCGGTCCCTATGTCTGGGTAAGTGATTCAGTCGAGGAAATTACGCTATAATTTACATTACGGTACTGGCAGATCTTATATATAGTTGTATGTATCCATGCCCTGAAGAACTACCACAGTCAATAACCTACTCAAGTAGCCGAACGTCAAAATACTGTACCAGGATGCAGTCAGCTCGTTAACCTAATAGTATTAACTTATAGGTCTTATAGGATATCTAGGCACAATCGTACCACCTAAACAGAGCCTGATCATACCTGAATATAATGCGCACTGCATTAACAGGTATGAACCGAGATGTTTAGCAGTTCAGATGTTAGCAAACATCCGTCAGTATACTTTTATTTTTATTCTATCACAATTGATATGTTGCATCGAAAGCCTACTATGTATAGGTTATACAGCTGCAGGTGAATGAAAGCCTTGATTTTTACAAACGTTCGCACACATCAGATTTTTGCTCATTCATGGTCACGTTACTCCATTATAAGTTACTATTGAAAGAAAAACCTGACCTCAAGTAAATAATACAGGGTGTGCTGAAAAAAAAAGTTTGGAACTGTCAAAAGAAATATTTCGTGTACGTTTTGCGTTCTGTGAACAGGCAAACTACAAAAGTAACGAATATACAAAGGTATACGTATACGGGCGTGTAAATATCGAAAAGTTCTGGGATAAGACTTCAAAGAATTCTGAGAAGAGAGGTCCTCAAGAAATGCATATTACTTTTTTCGAAAAATATCTCTATAGATTTTTAGTGTAAATTTTTTTTTATCTAATCACATATTTCAAACATCGCGTACAACACTCACATTATACTACAACGTAACAATATGTTACTTTCACTAAAAAATTATAGAGAGAGCTTTGAAAAAAAAAAAAAAAGTGCGTCAAAACTGGCTCCCAGCGATTTTTTACCTCGACAGAATTCTAATTCGCCTTAATTTCACTAGTACGCAACACATAGTGCTATTGTCGGTAGAACAGATGTTTCCATAGAATGAATCTAGAATTTTTGTAAACACGAGTAATATTAACAGATTTTTCACAGGCGTGAAAAAAAACGTAGGCTGCAAGCGGAGGGCCTCAATGGCCCGCATATATCATAGTTGAGCGCATTACTAGTTGTTGTCAAAATTGTACCGCACTGCGAGATCTACATGGCAGTGCTCTATACATCCTAGAGCCCTATTGCTAGCAGTATTAGACACGGCATTTTCTTAATCACATTTTGCACAAAAGCAAACTGATCTAAAAATAGAAATATGAAACAGCGAACCACCGCCACCGTGAAGAGATGGCGAAGGCACACCGATATATGAAAATCTGAACCTAAAAGCTGCAAAAACCTAACTAGGTAATCATATCCCGTTAAGGGTATCATTCGAACCGCTTGACCACTTACGTTATTTGTGAGTTCGCTAAAGTGTTGTATGGAACAAATGCGTCTCTATATATTTTGCCGCAATTTTCCAAATTGAAATATTGTACGATATTCGCAAAAAACCTTGGACAGCGTATCGCTGGTTAGGAGATATGCAGGCACCCGATTTTTGTTAAGTTTCGTATTGAGATATTTTCTCGTTTAGTTAATTAATGGAAGCACGAGTGATCGAAAATTCGTTGACAGCCTATATCGCACCTAGGGGAAATGTCACTACAGTGTGCATTAGCTTTGGCGGGGAAATTATTTATTAATCTTGGCTTTGAATGAGCTCTTGTTGTTGGTAGAGAAGTGTATTTGCCCAGCTAATTTTGCCCAATCTACTAATCTAAACCGAAGACAGTAAGCCAAAGATGAAGAACTCTTCGAAGAAAGGTGGTATCTTTACAGCATTCGTAACGTTAGTATGGAACCAATGTTAAATCCGATCAATCAGGACTTGCTACTTCGAAACGACGGTATTTCGGCTTTCACTACTCACAGATATCGTCGGCGATGATCAGACTTACGGATGTGATTAGAAGAACGTCACCTAACAACGTCAAAATTATGAACATTCGATATATGGAACGGACGTTGGTAATAGGTTTCTTCTACTTTCCGAGCTATTACACTGACCTGCAAGCTCTTCGCCTGCCGATGAAGTCGAATCTTAGTTTGTTGCCATCAGTACTCAGGCATGACACTAATTACCTATAGGATTGCGCGAATCCGCAGAGAGAGCCTTCCTAACTTAAACTTGACATGCATAATATAGTGTGTACATTTATCAAGCTTCAATAATCAATTTTCAAATTTACCCCAAGAGATAATTACCCGATCTTGTACATACGCACACACCACGGTAAATCGATAAGATGGATAACGTGCAGCGCTTGCGCATTACCGATGCGTGCATGCGATGCAATATTAAACGCTTCAATTGGATAATGGTAGATATGTAGATACATAACCATAACATTATAGGTCCTTTCTATGAGCAGATTAATCCAGTCATTTAAATAATCTTAATATATTTATCTGGGCTCGTTATGGGACGTATGTTTCTCCTATCGTACACGAAATGGTTGAAGGCAGTATACTCTATCAGAAATATTTTACGCGCAACACGTGCTTCGAGTTTATCTCTCAATGATGATTGTTTAGATGAAGACAAAGAAAAAAGGGAAAACCACTCCCGAATTTCTCTAGAAAGTTACAAGGCTCTTATACATTTTTGTAGGTCAAACTTTTCCAAAACGAACGCTAACCTAATATTTTACCGTGAAGTCGACGGTTACCCGTCAGTGAGGAAAAAGCCCTTAGAGGACTGCATCAATTATCAGTTAGTAGAATACAGGATACAATGCAAGGTGACTTGAACGTGGTTCACTGCCTCGATAAACCTAAACGTAAAGTGACCGAATGTCATGATCGATAAAGCCGCGTTTCAAATATGATTGTTCTTAGATTTTTCTGAGTTCACTTCTTGAGCGCATCGGTATAGAGTCTACTAATAGATTGCTTCGTAGGTCGTAGATCTTCGAGGTGCTGCTTCAGAGCCTGGCATATATTGAACAACATTGCACACTGATCACACAGGAGATCACTAGGCCATTTTTCGATTAGTAGTTTTTAAGCTGAAAGGATTTCAGATCCTTCTGTGATTACAAATTGAGATTTACTTTGTCAAAAAAAAAAACGTTTAAATGTAGTTATTCTTATTAAATTATATATATATATATATATAATAATTTAATAAGAATAACTACATTTAAACAGTTAGAAGAAAACCTACATTCGAAGTAGCTATTATCACTTTTGTCTTTGAAAACGTTATAAATCACATATTGAAAACTTAACAAAAACGAGTGATTTATGGCTAATTTCGTGGTTACAGACATACTCTGTGTAAGCCTCTGGTGCCATACATACTAAGCGTCATAGTAACCTACCCTGTGTGAAGCAATGTCTAATTGAAGCGCATATATTTAATTAGTCCTCTTAGAATACTCGCTATTATTGATAAAAAAAAAATATTTGATTGTTTTCTTAAAAGAGAACGTTGCAGTACATCTCATAGCAACAGGATTGTGCTTTATTTGAAACACTCAGAACTTTACATTCTATATAAATATTGTCACAGAGTTTGGTGAACAGCCCTAGCTTGATAGATAATTATACTTCTAGCTAATACAATGGACCTGTTCTTCAGGGGATAATCATCCTCTCATCCTCATTTTGCTATGATTTACAGTTATATAGCACTGTTATGAAGTTGATGCAGGTTTACAAGAGCTGGATTATAGGTGGCCGATACCTGTTTTCTGTTAACAAGTCGCAAATGGAATTAGCGGGCACGAGCGGCGAAGAAATTAGCCCATTCATATGCAGTAGAGTATCTGCAACTCTGCCACCTGGTTACAAAACGATTATGGGTCAATTTGTTTGCCTAACACGCGAAACGTATTCTTATCAGCTAAGTTCTGCGGTGAACTCCGTCCAAGGATTACAGTATGAGCAGTCGAGGCTTATTGACACCATGAGGCTAGCAATAGTAAGGCTTAATTTCGAAATGCATGCAGACAGGCTAATAAGATCGATAGATTAGTTTGACAATAGCTAGATCACTCTAAACGCTATCCAGATCTAGCCAGTAGCTCCACACGCCGTGCTTCATAGCTGTCCGGCTTTCTTTTTTGGCTCTTTTTCTAGTTCCCTCGAAAGTGTGGTGACGACGTGTTTAAATTGGTGGGCCTTTATGTTTTCTTGGAGCAGCGAAAGCATGAACCAATCGCCACAGCTGCCGTTACGTCTGACGCTATCCAGTTCAGTTTTGTTGATCATGCTAGCGAGCGTCTTGATCTGAACGTAGCGGTATTTTTTCGAAGTGAGCATAATGATTCGGTAAAATGCATTAATGATGCTGATAACTAAGACTGCCATGAACCAGAACCATAAGGCAACGAATATCTTCTCATTGACGATGTTCAAGGAAAGTAGGCAGATTGCGTCATGGATCTGTACTTCGCCAGAGGTCCCGAAGCGCCTCACGCGGCATTTCGACATTTTGGGGAAGACACGAGCCATTGGGTCGACCCTGTGCTCTGGGTCGTGGGTTAAATAGACAACGGCACTTGGTCCATAAGTCCAAAATTGGTATCCTAGAAATCGATCCAACAAATAGATCTGGAGTATAACGTTGGCAAGAGCGGCCATTTCGCAAATAAAGAAACGGTAGGCATATTTTTCATTTTCAAAGCGATGGCCCATAAAATATTTGTTGATAGACCGAGTCTTCTTGCCCCATTCCTCTTCGGACAGAATGGGAATCTTCAAATTGTCGTGCTCGGTAAGCTCTTTCACGAGGGCCTTCATTCGGCCCTGTTCCCAGCATCGCCACAACCAGCGGGGAAAATAGAACGCGGCCGATTGAAATAGCAGAAAAACGCTGACCCATTGGTAATACGAATGCTCCAGTACTGGTTCATCCTCCGAAATCTTGCGTTGGTCAACTCCAGGCGCAGCGACGTCATCGCCGAGAGTTCCATTGAGTGATCGTGGCAACGTAATTGTTCCTTCAACCCAACAGTAATTATTCATGATCTTCGACTGAATAATGTCGTTAGACACACAGAAGATGGGTTCACCAAAAAACTGCGTCGCAGTAACGAGAATACTACAGATGAGCAATAGCGTTGCTGTGAGCTTATAGTGCAGACGGAAAACTCCATGATCTGTCTGAACCTTTGAATAAGATAGCAGATTCTTGACTGCATCGGTCCAGAGCAATTTATCCATGATGAGGCTGTCACTTAACAGAACCTGGCGATTCTTGTCACAATAAAAGAGGAAAACGCTTTTCAAGTCGCCACGATGCCGTACACACTAGGTGAGTTGCCGTACTCGCACCAGTCTGGCCGAGAGGACGTCGAGATCCTCAAGTAGGTAGTAAATCCATAGCGATTATCAGTCAATAGGCACGGCCACTCTAAGGCACAAACTGTCGATACTAGTGCCGTCTGGTGGTGGGAGTGCAAGCAGCGTCTGTGGGTAAGAAAATGTCAAACACCGTGCCAGTACAAGTTCTGTAGGGAGTATTGCTTCAAGAGTATCCTGAAAGCAATCTAGCTAGCGCGTCATAGAAAATAGGACAACAATGACAAGAGCCTGTTTTATCGATAACAACGACCAGGGGTGGGGCCAGTGAAACTGTGACTTATTGTGTCAGAAGGTTTTATTTATGCACGAACAGTTTTTATATGAAATACGTGAGCCGGTGCATCTATTTGAAAAAAAGTCAGTGATACCGACTGTGTGTATCCGGATATTGAAACTATTGAAGCTGTTTCGCTGTATGTAATGTATCTACATTTTTAAAATTAGTTCGCTCATTATCAAAGTATCATGATTGTTGGATTTAGCTAACGTAATATGTGACGTATCTTGCTGTTATCGAAAACCTAAATGATTATAAAAAATCTTCAAGCTTTTGCCTACATCGTAGGTGAAGAGGAAATGTATTCATTTTAATGTGAAGTCTTAAGATAAACTTACATGCAGTTCGGTGGCAATGCAATATGAGAGGTATGAGCATTATTTTTTTAGGCGAGTTTTTTGTTCAGCGTCAGAATGTTAACGTATAATACGCGATCGTCAAGATATTTATTTATCTAACCTTAACTGATTTTTTCTTGTTAAAATGCTAGTTAGCCAAACAAGTGTAGCTTTGTAAATGCAGTAGTCATTCCATATACTTTCTATAATGGTACATTTAACACGGCCGTGAAAGCTGTTCGCCTGCGCTACTGAGGTATGTCAACAGCTTGAAAAAGTGCCACAATTCTCAACACGGCATTATCTGTGTCATGCAACTGATTGTTTGCTAGCAGTGTTCTTTGTTTTTTTTTTCTTGGACGTTCTTGAAGTTCTCAACTTCTACTGAAGGCATAATAAGCACTCCAAAGATGTTTAGCTCACTACAGTTGTGTCGCAAGTATTAGATGTAGTAAATGAACGTACTAAAATAACTAACATAGTAAATATAACGAGTTGCATGAGAGACCTGTGATAATGTGCTCGATCAGTCAAACTGAGATTTCTAAGGGGAAAAACCTTGCTACTGGCACGCTTCAAAAATTGTACAGGCAATACGAAAAAAAAAAAAAAAAACTAATCACGCTTACAAACACCGAACCAAAGCCATTGCTTAATGTTGTTCCCTAACAGTAACAAAAGCATAAGAACGATGCAGTACCAGATAGCCAACCTGTGACCGAACGCCAAAACAATTCATTTTGTCAACATCTTCAATAATTCTTCTTAATCCAGTTGACCTGGCAGCGACTTGTGACAAACTAGCACGAGTCTATGAAGCAGTAATATACGATCACTTAAACAGTGCATGTTTGAGTTCAGTCCTGTTAAGGAAAAACGAATAGGGCCTTACACCCTTCGCAGCAAATACGCGCAGAGTAAAGTCTTTATTAAAACTGATAAAACTATCATTATTACAATATTAATAGTAAGCATTAGAAAAGAAATTAAAACGTTAGGCATTTCTCAGTGTTCGCCAGCTTCATAATATTGTGTCACTTTATATTTTTGACATTGGTGATATGACTTAGCGTATATTAGTCGAGCTTATTTGTTAGAAACGTTGTTAAACGAGGGTCTTAGTCGATGGAACGCACGCTTCGGGTACCTTTTTTCCAGTGTAGATATGACGACATTGTCCTGAAGGAGAGTGCAGCTCAGAACTGACGTCAAATTGACGCTTGTTGTCTCTGCCAATGTGAACGAAAAGATGCGGTCGAACGATATGTTGTCATCGTATTATTGTACGTAAGTTTATATAATTTTGGTCTCCCAATTTTCGGTTGCTGTCTCCTTGCTATATTCGGTTTCCTGTTGTTACTTTGTTGGGGAAGGAATGTAATATACGCTATGTTTTATCTCGATGCACACGGTTTGTAAATAATAATCTGTTGATAAATATTTTCCGTTGACTTTTAGATCACCCCCTGTGCTTGAGTCTGTATCAGCAGAACGGATATTTAAAAAAAACCGCCAGTTAAGTTCTTTACATAGACTGGGCAAACTGGCTTATTGCTCGCTAAAGACAAAACTGATATGTGGGTTAGGTACTACCAGATTGGCTGTTTACATCTACAGAGGACACTTTTTTTGCATACATACTTTCATATGTAATCCATCATGTCTATGTCTGCTAGTATCATTTAAAGACCATTAAACATTTAGTACCATTAAAACATCCGGTCTGACGAAAAACTGTATCCCCATCAAAATTTGGCTTGACAGCTATCTATATAACATTTGATTTTGTCAGATGCAAATAGAATAGTTTGGCGAAGCCTACTTTATGAGCACTACCTAGTTTCCTCATTTGTTTTTGTAGCAATTTAGGGTAAGGAACGATTCTTTTTTCTAACGACGATTCAACTTACTTGGAAGTTGAAGATTTACCATCAGACGATGTTTCCCGGAGATATTGTCTCTTAGCAACTTGACATTGGGCTGGGCTGACTCAGCTTTACGATTGATTGCATGATCAGACGCAACCAGATCCTGCGGATGCGGTTGGACTATATCGGGTGTGGAGACTCGCCTTGAGATATCCATGACACCATCGGTAATTATCGAAAAAATTGTCTTTTCCGAGTTCACCCGAACATGGCCAGATTTGAGACGGCATACCACTTCAATTACGGAGTCTCGCGAACTTACTAGGCCGGCGCGCTCCTTCAAGCTGACTCGGTTCACATAAAGTGAGTTACTTGCCTAAGGAAAACATTACAAGTTGGTTTGTCATTGTAATGATCGCAACCAGATGTCAGTTACGTATTCGTTGTGCATTATATCTTTGATAGCTGGGCGTATATTCTGAATATATATATATATACTGAGCGCATACACGCGGTTGTTATTAGATTAAACGAGCGTATACGCTCTTGACAAGCTCTTTGCTTCCATTTTACCGAGTATTAGTTTTCTACTACCAGCCCGGAGCGGACGCATATGCACTATGGTCACCTATTGATGAGTTTGGTAATCTCTTTATGTTTCACGTCATCGTAAATTAGCACCACTTAATTTTATAGCTAAGGTTGGTTTCAGACATGGAACATCGGGTGCAATAGATGTCAATCATACCGAAAAAGACTTCATCATCACGATGAATCGTAGGATACTTGTATCACTAACCCTGTAGATATACGTTGGGTTCAAAAAGAGGACACGTTCTTGCAAGAGGTGACACCATTTAACATTAATAGCTATCACAATAGGCAATATTGCATCAGGCGCGGTGAAGGCCGATTTTTAGACGCCTATGTATATACGTAGATGTCTAACGCGCCTAGCGTAATAGTAATAATAATGTCTACAAAAGTTAAACGTAACCGCGCTATAAGATCTATAATCTCTTAGGTCTAATAGCCAACTATAAAACCTTGCCAGAGCGTGAGAGAAAAGGTAACAATATTTACCGAAACGTGAGCCGATATTAACAACTTAAATAACTTTTAGAAATCCCGACGTTTCAGTTAGACATTGATCCATAGATCTGCCGTTTTCGTCTCGCAACTTGTCTACCCCAACGGCAATGCTGAAAGTCAATATAATAAAAAAAGCACCTATCTAGCATGTTGTTTTAAAATGAGCAGTAGGAACCTTAAAAAAAATGTTCAGGTATCTCTTGTTTTATCACATGCGTGTTCACCTTGTGTGTGTTGCACGCCTCATAAGGGATATACATAATAGTAGGTCCTTTTCCTGTACCTCGAACGGCACACGCGGGATCTTCACTACCTTCAATCCACATGAGGCCTTTGAATGGAACACCTCCCGGGCCCCCCGAAAGCTCCACTCGCATTCCCGTTGAATCGCACGATAGATGTACTGTAAGCGAGCAAAAAATCGAATATGGCCAAAGTTGACTTGATTGCTTCTATATACTGGCAACAGACAATAGCGATGCCATCAGTAGATATTTATCTTACGGCTAGTACGGCGAAAGCTGGCCAATGGAACGTAGACCAACAGGCCTTTCAGATACTTAAATTAATTTCTGATACATCGTTTCTAGTAATCAGCACGCCGCACCAGTGACTATCTAGTTTATATTCTTTGTATGATAAAACAGTCCCTAATCACATCCAGTTGAAACGCATTTAAGACTTAGACAGGTTAAATTTATAATCAGAACCACACAACCATAATTCCTCTTGACGAAAGTCTTCAAGTGAAGATCGCTTCTGATTACGAGCTACTGTAGGCACAATAATGCTTTCCTCAAACACGTTTCTATGTGTGAGCCATACCCATTCGCTTAGCCTCGCTCTGCACTCTATTAATAATCTCGAACAGATTAGCTAACTGCTGCTGGAAATAATTCTACCGGGAAAAACTGGATTGTGAGTATATTACCTTTATCTTTCCACATATCTGCCCCAACCGGGCATAGTAATGCTATCAGCACTAATATGTTGTCAACCGCCACAGCCATGCCTGTGTCTATATCGTTTTCCCGTGGATTCCGCACTTGAAAGACGCTTCAGGTTTGTCTCTAATATTACGTACTTGAATTCACACTATACAACTCACGTTTCACATAGAATTCCACACCGCGGAGCCACTTGCACAAACACCTGTTCATTTATCTTGTTCAGATAAATGCCGCACCCGTTACGATCCTCTCACGGACGTATCGGACATTGCAATACGCTTCACTGCGTCTACGCAATGGGATTCACTTTTTACAATATCACTCAACGCGTTGGGTGCTCGGGCCCGCACGGACGATTGTAAGAGTTCGCCCATAGATAGCGCATAGCGCTGCTGCCGGCATTGTGGCCACCGGTCCCCCATATCTTGGCCGCTTGCATCGACGGTCCTTGCATGCAGACGGCTCCGGCCTCATGCTCAGTCGCTCCGTACTGCTCAGTAGCGAAGCACGATTTGTCACGAACGTGATATGCATGGCAGCTGCTAGAGATTTTTAGAAAACCGGATAACTGGCTAATCGGAAAGCGTGTTATGAAATAAAAAGTGTTTCAAGTATTGTCAGATACGTGGTTGAAGCAGCTGGCGTCGAGTTCAATCAATCAATGTCTGATTCTAAATGTTCGGTGTAGATTTTTTGTTGAAGATGCATGTCTGCGCATGCGGCCGAGAAACGCAGTTGTTCGCGCTTCCGCGTACTATGATGTGTCCGCTAGCGTCGGTTTCTTATTAAACGAAAAATCGTCTTGGAAAACTTCTCACATCTTGCTCTTTCATGGCAAAAATCGCTCTGATTGCCGTTCTTGTCGAGCGCTCGTGAGTCACCAGCGATCGACAAACACCTGTTGAGGGAAGCTGATGTGTTAACGGAACAACACAAACTCGCAGCGATGATGCACAGGCGGCAGAATAAAGGAGACGCATAGGCCTGCGTCTGTGTGCGTGCGAAAAATGCCAAAGATCCAAAAGGAGCTTGATGGATTAAAGACGGATAACAATGGCAACAACATGGTACAAACCTCTTCCCGGCTATCTAGGCTTCTGTCTGTCCGAATGCCTGCGTGCTGGCTCGTAGAGATGCTCACCAACGGGTAGGATACACCTCGCAGGAAAGAAGGCCGGGCCGACCAGTCGAATTGTCGATTTCTGTCCTAGACGTCACTTCAGATAGCTCTCCGCCGAGTGTTAATCATTCCACGGCAGTCAATCATTCACTCGATTTGTCTGTGAGAGAGGTGCTGTATCAATGAGTGACTAAATGAGCCGGATGAAAAATATAGGCACTGTTTGCATTATCGCCTTTGCTTGCAAGATTCGTCATAATTTTCTTTTTGTTTTTTTACAAACCAGCAACGCTTCCTTAATGTCTACTCGGTATTACTGCGGTATCACTAGTGCCGCCGCATTCATGCCACTACCGTTGAAATCTTATCAGCGCTTAGCACGTTCCGAACGGTTGCACTTAAGAACCCGCGTCACCGTTACGCAGACGTTTGCGTACGGTCTACGCAGCAGCAGAGGTCCTGGCTATGCTATTCCATCTTGACTCCGACTCGGCTAGCAGCTGCCGTTGGGAGCGGGGCAATGGCCGCCGAGACCGTGGGTGGGACAAGCAGCTTGCCACCAACCCCGATCATGAGTTTTTGGGTCGTAACAATAACAATAGGAGCAGCAGCGACAGCAGTAGACAAACGCTAAAAGAATCTGCAAATGGAAAAATTTGGGACACCAACGCTAGACAACATCATCATGTACAATAATATTAGAGGTAGGAATGCATATCGGTTCTGTCTGTACTGTAGTAGACACTTCGGAAGGCCGTCGAATCATTGCAAGCGAGAGATGCATGATTCCGTTGAAGTTGCCCGTAATGATGGGCCATACGACTCTTTGGTAGAATTCGTTTTGCGCAGAAGGCACTGCCTCAATAGAAAGATGAGTATAGAAGACAACGCGTAGGACTACAACAAATAAGGTTTATTTTGTTCTGTGATAGCTAACAAGAAAATCTTGTACCTAATATACTTGGATACGTTTGCTTAAATGACTAGCGATATAAAAAAAATCAGGCGGCAAGTAGAAGTGACCCACTCAAAACTTCAACAACGATCCATCTGGGAACTATCCAACTCACACATTACAGCTATAACATTTTTTTTTTTCAATTTTTAGTTCTATTGCACATCGTTGCCCAAGAAACGTAGTACAGAACTTACTTTTAAATCAATACGTATGTATGCATATGTAAATGGTCATTCTTTGTAAATATTTAAAATCTGTGCAGCCGTTTATTGAGCGATCATAATTATCTTACACGGGCGTCCTACGACCATCAGAGGATTACTTATCCAGGCATCACTGGAAGGATTTTAAGTCCTGTGTGATTTCATGTTGCGCTAATTGAGAATGGAACAAAAATAACGCGCAATATAATAACAAGCAGCTTGGCTAGCAGAAGTAATCTAAAATAAGACGATTCTCTCTAAGAGGACAACTAAAACAGGATGGTTTTACATGAAACATTTGGTCACGAAACCTAGTCTAAGATGCTGAATTTGAGCACAACTATCTAGGTTCATTACCTTTCTCTAAGAAAACGAGTGGGCTAATTGAATCTTAGCTTATGTTATAGTTTCATCCTGAATATATATATTTGTTTAGTGGAAATTTCGATAAAGAAAAAAATAGCATCGTGATTAAGCTGAATACCGCTCCCAAAATTGTGTGTGAAATTCGAGGCCTGTTATGTATATAAATACAAAACGTGCGTTCCTTTCAGGCCACCGTACGTACCTGAAATGAGGGTAAGTAGCACTTTCAACGCTACACATATTGAACAATTGTACGTAGATGAAACATCAAAATACTTGTACGGTTCTGGCTTGAAAATTCTACCCAATTGTACCTCTTAACTTTCTAGGTTTCATTCGTCAACTTAAATATTCAATGCATTGTAGAGCTGAATAAAAAAAGCACGAAACTAGGAAGTTATACAAATTCCTCTTCGGCAATAGATAAATCCAGCCAGTGTTGAAACTTGGTTAGAGATGACAACGCACCGATTGAATTTTGAGCTTCTTAAAGCTCAGCAAACTCCATATGTGAAGGTGTAAAGCGATAGTTCTGTATGGGGTAATGTTGCGTCAGAACCTGGAAACATCGAAGCCATCGGAGTCCACTTAGTTTCCCTGTGCATTGCAAGCGCCACAGTGTGGAGCAGAGCGTTAAAAAAAGGTCCCACGTGACCCATCCGGACATCCGTGGGCTTTAATCGTTCTGAGTTTATAAAGATTGATATGTAAAAAAGTTTTTGTAAACCAATTTAGGAGTTCCGAATCATTCTCTGCGCAGATTTGGTAGATTCGGGCTGTGCTTCGTCAATCACGTGGACAGCCTAAAAAATCGGTAGATAAGAATACAATGATCTCGGTATTGGGTAAAAATAGAGGTCATTCTGCACTCTTTCCTTTGAAGTACTCTGTTCGACAATCTGTACCCGGCATACTTACTATCCGAAGCCTCTTTTTCGTGCCTCTAGTTTCTCGTTTCCCTGACATTAATAAAAACGTTCGTGCAGACAATCATAAAGACTGGAGCAATATTTGCAAAAAAGCTCCCTTTAGATATCGTGTTGATTTCAGAGAAACTTTCATACACCATACGTTAAAGAGTAAGGGGATTTCAAACCAGCTTCTATGCGTATAGGGGGAATCCATTTTTATGGAGATAGATTATACGACTCAAATAAATTTCTATAGACATATTTCTAGTAAGCAAATTCTACTTATAAAATAGGTCGATTTCTCTTACGTAGATTTGTTTTAATTAAGAACCTAACTGATCGTATCATAAGCTCAAATAGCGCAACACCCTTTTTACAAACGTGTTTGATCGGATAAGATCTGAGCGCAAGTTCAGCATTGAGGTTCATAGATCTTTTTTAAATAGTACACTAATAAATAGGACTATTATGTTAACCAATAGTAATTTTGTAGTTTCACGGCGTGAAGAAGGCACATCGAAAACAGTTGACATCCGACTGTGTTTCTTCTAGTGAATGTCTACACAGCGATGCCGTTGTGTACGTTTGGGCGATAATCCTTTCGTTGACTTCCGTCGCAAGTGAAAATCCTTTTCGCCCTTGGCGAGCCCCAGACCGAGCTTAATATCGAAAGTCTGCTTCGAAAATATTAATATCAATTATAAACAAGGACTCCATACATTAACTGGCTAACCCTGCCTCGGTTGAATTCAGTAAGAAAAAAAGAATAAATATATACCCTTGGCTTGAATAGCTGAGCTTTTATACGAGGAAACAGTTCGAAGCCCTACCAGTGATTATATGGTTCTACATCAGTGAATGATAAGGACAAGCCTGACGGCTGCAGAGCGTCTGTCTCAGAATCAACTACTGAATAATATTCTGTGAATTTTTTGTCCAATTCAATTGCTATAAAAGCTACTGCTAGCACAATATAAGCTGTACCCACACGCAAAATCTTAATTGTAATTATTATTAGTATTATATTAAGTTATTATAGGATCGAATATTTTATTTGTATATATAATGTATTCGCAGCATACGAAGGCCTTACATTTTTTATTAAATCTTTGTTGCTTATGGTAATGTCCACTTAGTCGCGCCAGACTCGTAGACAATGCAGTTCTTCCATTGATGGTATTCTATAAAATACTGCAGATCGATCAACCACAGCTGGCTAGCTAGACTACTTTTCGACAAAGAAATGTTCATTAAACCAATAACAGCTTAGGTTCACATAGGGTCAGAAGGACAGCTTATAGGTCTTAATTTTACAGCACCTAAATATATAATTGCGTTCAGGCCAATGCTTAGGAAATTCTACAGCAACATTGTATCGCTGTTCCTCAAACTGATAAATAAACATAAGAACAGAGCTAATTTCCTATTGATGAAAGTACTGTCCTAGTGAGGCGTGAGTTTCGTTTTGAAGGCCGTGCACAAACCATGAGTGAAGCCCTTAGCGTTGTCTCGACTCTCAGAATTCTCATTTAATGTAGGTACTCCGCTGTGGAAAACCTATTTTGAAAGCATTGTTAAGTGGACCCCTGACTGGGTGATTCCCTTTTCAGGAAAACTTCGCAGACCCTAATAGAAAATAAATCAGTCGCAAGCGTATTTCGACTTAGCGTTGGCTAGAGCGACAAGAAATACAGGGTGACATAAAAGCCAAAGTAACTTCTTGGGCAAACTTGAGGTGAAACTCGAACAAGATTTTATCATAACGAAGCTCATATGCCCAGATCCTCATCCATAAGATTTTTACTAACGTGCTTCTCTATAAGCATAAATGTTATATTTCTCGAAAAATAGGTTTCTAATTTGTGGAACAACGCCGGGGCAAGTGTTTAGACGCATATACCCGTTAAAGGCTGGTGAAGAAAAACTAATTGTTTGTATTTGTACGAATTTTGGTTGGAAAGTTTACGATTGAAACTATTAACCAAGGTACAGTTAGATCTCATACTAAGAATTACCTCCTTGTATTCTGAAGGTCTAAGTAATAGATCACTTGGAGCAAATGAACTGTAAAAGAACTAAAATCAGGAATTAAAACCGCAAGTTCCTCACAGCTCCTAGATGTTATCGTTTGTTACTTTTAAGATTCATGTTACTGTCTCGTTAATTTTATAAACGTTATCGTCGTATTTTCTCATTTGAAAATCGAATAAAGATATCTTACAAATGCGTGTGATGATGATCGTAATAATAATAAGAATAATAACAGTATTATTAATAATAATAGTATTATTAACAATACGGCGAAGTGACAAAAATCATTTTCGTTTAGGTGATCTGATTCCCTGGTTGTGCTCAGGCCTACAAGTCAATAGCGCGAGTAGAGAGAGGGATATCGTATTGTTTACGGTCGCGATCGACGGGCAACGGAATTATTTCGAATCTCAGAGAAGCAGAAAGCGAGATATCGTTGTAATGTGCTGAAGAAAGCGCCTTTTGGACACGTTATTATCACATTACTGCTAGTTAGGTAATGGCACATACGTTGTGCTCATCTTAGCAAAATAAAGACATTGAATTTAAATAGACCGCCAATGTAAGCTGAAGCTTAATCTTCTAGTATTAAACACCTCAGGGAGCCTTTTCGCTGATAGGGGACAGGCTCCGATGTCTTGACACCATTAACAGGATTACAGCAATGGCAATAACGCCCACGACACTGAACCACCTTGTAGAGTCCATTTGCCTCGCACTGTGGAACACTGGAACGCAACAATCGAGGAACCCTTTCGTCAAGCACTTGCTGCCGCTCGACGAGGCATTTACAATATTCAAGTTTACGCGACAGACTTCCCTTCACCAGCTTACCGTCTGGAAGACGACAATGACAAAAGCCAGTATTTTGATTGCATTGCAGGTCCTTCCACGTTCCATCAGGCTCACACTCTGGTACGAACACATCTTTGTGGTCCATTCGCAAAAGGCTTTTGGCATACTCGCGATCCTGTAGGCACAAGGTTGACCCGATGGCACCGCTAATCAGCGCACAGACACCGACTGCCAATTTCACTACGAGTCGGACGGAATAGGTTTGGTTCATTCAGCCGCTGTGATTTTGCGTACAGCTGCCAAGAGAATCTTTTTCAGTTGATTCTTAATCTCCCCTAAGCCATCTCAGGTGTTTCTACTCCATGTTCATCTGCGTTATCGTTCGACTGTAATAAGTCTTTCGGAACGAATTTGGCGCTCTAACGAGTATTTCTGGAACTAACGTTGTGGCGGTTTTCCATTGAGCTGTAACATTCGTAGAAATTCAACGTTAGTTATTCTGTTTTTTTATATATTCAAACGTGTATTTGGTAGTAGTGATAGTAGTCAGAGTTTTAGCAGTAAATGCCAACAGAAAAGCCGACAGGCGACAACTTTACAAATTTATCAGATGACAAAAGGTCTGCATAACTCGTTTTTGTCTGCGAGTCTGCATATTGCCCCCCAATTATGTCTCGATCTTTGTCTTTAAAACATTGCTTTTCATATGTCTTTGCCTGCGGAAAGCTGAACGGTACTGATTTTTCATTGTGGCTCTTCAAAGGACTGATCGGGCGAGTTCCGCAGATCATCGTCTTTACAAGGAGCGTGAATGTACTGTACTTAGATATATTACAACTGTGACCGCCGCCATAGCTTTAGCGATCCTTCGACGGATACGATTTGAGAAGTTCAAACCGGTACAACTTGTAGGATAACTTCGGCTGCTTAGTCGTAGCGGTAACAGGCTTTCCAAATAGCAAAAGAGTTTATTTTATAGTTGTTCTCGTTATCTTTAAAATGTTATATTTAGGGGAGGCTAAAACGAAATCTGAAGGCGAGCGTCGAAAAGCATTTGTCGACGAAGTGAGCCAAATTATACCTGAACATCTGTTTTTGAGCCATCTAGCTGGAACCTCAAGCACTGCCTTGGCAAAGGAAGGCGTACTAGCACGCTTTCTAGTTAGAAAGTTGTCTAAGTCTTGTCTGCCTTGCTTAGAAAGTAATTGCAACGTTAAAGAATGCTATTTTTCCAAAGTTCTATGATACGCTCAACAAGAGCCTTCTGTAATCACCGTCAAAGGTTGCCGGCATGATTCTTAGAAACACCTTTACAATCAAGCCTGAATTTGCCAGTTCTTTTTTTTTATCATCAGCACTAGCGAGCTTCGCAGCTTCGTAGCCAGATGTCTTAAATAAATAAAGCATAATAAATAAAAAAAAAAATAAAACAATTGATTCGTTCTCTTAGCTACTTCTGTTCCAGGTCTTTCTCATCACTAAGCCTCCGCCAGCGGCAGTACCGATGAAGCTTTTCCTAACTAATTGTGCAAGGAACCTGCATTATTGGCCATCGCACGAGTGTAAAAATCGCTTGCACGAGGTTCTGGGCAGTCCCTTTACCGCGCATTCGTTATAAGCCGAGGTGGAAAACTCTACAACCTGCAAATGGATCGCGTATGAAAAATGCAGGATCAATGAATGAAATACCGTTTCCTATGAAAAGTATTAACGTGCTGAGAAATTTAAGACAGCGCCTTTGATCTTCAAATTAATATTAACTATATTTGCTCTTACGAGTTATTTCCGAAGGAGTAAACAGGTGGTCCTGCCAGATACTCTGAACTCCTGACAAGCAGAGTCAAGTATAGCTTCAACCGTCATATTCTCCTGATTACGGCCCGTGTAATTTCAGTTCCTTTTGTGCCTCAAAGATGCAATACAGACACTTAATGCATACCAAAATATGCTTGCTCTGCCTTGTATAGTTTAAAAGCCACACAAGTCTGTGAACCCGGTCAATAGGTCTGTACAATACAATACCCACCTCTATTTTTTTAGTTTAGATCGCATGATGTTATTTACTTCTTAGTATCAGCTGTTCATCGATCATCATAAACAGCATTCAAGAAGAACCTTAAATATAAGTTGACAACTTTCAAGGCGAAACAAAGCTGAAAAGATAACATAGAATGAGTGTAATATTACCGCTAGACATGTTATAGCACGTTGACGTTGTTACTGTTGTCATGCAGAATTGTCGAGTAAATCCACTGCTCTCTCCGCTTCATTCAGCAGTTAGGCGATTCGAGCTGGGTTACCTTGGATCGGATCGCAAAGGTGACTGGCAATACGTCTCGTGGCATCGAACCGTATCGTAGAGTCCGTTCTCTTCGCAATGGGCCATGCGGGCGCTTCTTTCGAGTCGATCGGGTACTTGCAGTGCACGAGCGTGCAGCTAGGCTCGATAGTTTTGGTACTTCTAGGAAGGCGGCAATAACAAGCGCCGTTGGCTCCATGGCATAAAAGAGCTCCCCAAGATCAATAGTCCTCAGAAGCAGAAACCTGTTCTGCGGTACGTAGGCCAAGGCCTTCTTTGGTACAGGTGACCATGGCATAGGCAGCCGACAAGAACTGGACGTTTCATTTTGATTATGCAAGCTTCCCTGTCGAACTACTTTCAAATAGTCAATCTTGCTTTTTGTATAATTCAAGATATGAACGACCTACCCTAAAATAGTAGCCATCAACTTGCGGCTCTGCCTAGCCTCTAGGTTAGGTAAATTTTCTAGTGCAATAGACAGATCATAGCGAAACTCATACCGATGTCAAAACCGTTCTGAATGCGCGTTTCCGCTGCAAATTCACTCTTCCCTATCGCGGATTAAGGATTTAAGGAAATTTTAATCTAGGATCTGTAACTTGAAGAAGAGTCTTTGAGCTATAGATCTTAAATAGATGGATGTGAGGTGGACCCACGAACCCAAATGATATTCAGGCTATGCAAGTGAACGGACCTGCTACAAGAGTCGCGAATTCGCGATACCGCAGAAACGGGGTAACCAATAGCTTCTTCGACTACTCCCAAATGGGTAGAATTAGTTGATCATCTCATCAATATACGTGTCACAGGTACGTGCAAATTTCTCCAGTTACTTTTCTAGGACGCGTTGGGCTTCATTTTGTCGTGCCAGGTAAAACTTACTGGCTAACTCCGTCAAACTACAGTCGCATTCCTATTTCCGTTGTTCTTTGGCTAAAAAAAAAAAACAAAAACTATGAAATCGTTAGCAGATAAAGCGCAATAAGTCGACTGTATATATAGCTTAATCAAACGCGTAAAATCCATAAAAATACTTGAGTCGCTACGTGTGATTGCATACAATATTTACATCACTCTTCTTGAAAAACGGAGGGAACATTTTTAACATTTGAATTTAACAGTCAAGCAACAACACGAACATGAAAGAAAGTTACAAGCTTTTACTGAACTTCGATCTAAATAATGTTAGGTTGTGACAAGTCTGGCGAACTTCGAAATCGAGCAATTTTTCCCAACAGACAAAATTTAGACCGTCGTTTAGGAACTTGTCGGTAAAAACCGGTTGAATTTACTGCATCTCGAAAATCAACGCCCAATGACCACAGTACCGCTAAAATGCGTCAAAGATTAGTAAGGATATCGTTCATGGAGGCCTTGAACAAAAGCGTAGCACGTGAATGCTGCGAACCTTTCAAGAACAGAGATTGGTGTGATAAAAACTAGCGAAGAAATAGCTAAATGTCGGGACGCGGAACGCTTCGCCGCAATCAAGAAGGCTTCTCATAAAAGAGTTTAGAATCTGAGGGCTCAGTGAGCCAAAACTTGGTTATCGACGAAGCATAATGATTCAGTCTCTATCGTCAGTCGGAGAGCGATCGAGCAACAGCATAGGATAACAGGTGGAGCGTGGAAGGTGCCCCGAACCACCGAGGTCCGCACCTAAGGTAATGATGGTACCTGCAATGGATATCAGAGGCGTCTGCTACTATAAGATAATCGTTGAAAATGAAGCAGTGAATGTAACCCGCTACCTCGAATTTTTCCAGAAGCTCATGGATCGTTAACACACAATCCTGTCACTTGATGGCAATGCCAGATTTCATCGCCATGCTTTCATTACTTCTTGGATTGAGCAAAAGAATATACAACATTGGCTTTAACAAACTCATTCATCGAATCCGAGTTCACGCAATCATGGAGTTTTATACGCTTTAAAAAGGTAACTGGTGAGTATACGCTCCCATTCATTCTACTATAAATATACTTCAAGAGGCCATAGATAAGGAGCTTACACTTTGGCTGCCGAAGCGCTCGGACGAGTACGTGAAAAAATAAAGAGTATTTCTAAGAAATCGTCACTCCAACCCAGCTAAGGCAAGAGCTGCTCATATTCAAAGCCCAACTCATCTGTAACTACCTAATATAAGAAAGCCAGCAAAATTCATGAGTTCCTGATCAATAACACAAATAAAGGTAAAGCTCTCTGTCAACAGACAACATACCCGTCCACAGTTTCAACTCGCTTGATATTTTAAGTAAGAGAAAAAATCCTCGACGCTTTTAGCGACCACTACGTACGTTCTACGAACTATAGCCACTTGGGAGATTTTTGATTGATTGAGAGTCTCACCTGAATTTGAAGTAGCTAAGCCTAAGCAGTATTTGGATGTTGTATGATAGTTAACAACTCCAGGAAAAAAAACGCAGCAAACTGATTTAGAGAATTCGTGCCCCGCCTTCAGAAGACATAACCCTAAGATCCATACTTGTGGTGAACTTGGGTGTGAATTATCTATTCTGATTGACTATGGTTGAACCTTCATCTCCGCAGGTCAGTGCTGATGAAACCTAGCCTTATTCCATCACCGTGAAGCCCTACTTCAATCCAACCAAGAAACGGCAAGCAAAAGACAATGGGAATATACAAAGAATAGTTATCCTGTCGAAGATTAGTTTCATGAATGAGGCGTGATAATATAATTGGTTAGTCAAGTCGCTCTTATACCAGCCTCCACAGTGATCGATGTATCGACCATCGATATATCAATCGGATATACAAATACAAAAGATATACATTGTATATTTGATTGATACATATCGTTGAAGCAGTACGATGTTCATCATAGATGCGAGGCTATTTTGCTACGGTTTTTAGTAGTCTGGGGCAATTAATTTTCTTTACTTTAAAGTTAATTTTCAATATTCAGTAACTTGTCCCGTTGTTAGCCAGACAACAATAACAAAATGTTTACCCGTTCTATATTTATTTTTGCTAAACAATGTAGTTTGGATTCCGAGAGCTTTTGCTTTCCCTAGAGAGCCTTGGGTCGACTTCTTTCTGGAAATCAGGGCAGCTCATTGGTTCTCAACCTTAGACAGATTCAGTCTGCTGGACCAACGTGTTCGCGCGGCTACAAGCCCGAGTCCAAAGGATATATCTCTGTCTGTCCTAATATAGTGTTTTATGTCTGTTGTGTGTGTCCCTGCGATTCAAACGGACTCTAAAAGTAATACCTAACAATGACTTAGCTTGTAACCGTGACAGTTCTGGTATTTACTGCTCTGGTCGTTTAAGCTGGGGCCACGGGCTTGAGTGAACACAATGCCCCCGTAAAAGAGATTTCATATCAAGGCGTAGTGACGATAGTACGTGGTATGCCAGACAATGCTACCGCTACCGACGTGCTGACGACACGAACGTAAATACGGAGTCTCGCGCGTTGCAGTATTGTTAAAGTCCCATCAAAAGTTGCTACAATGGCTTAATTACAGCCTCTGTTACAGAATGCCGAGACAGTACCGTTTACAAGTAGCTCGGCGGTCCACGATGCCGCAGAGGCAGAGCCCTATTGCTAACATTACAAAGCTAAGCTTCGTTGGATAGGTAATTACGACAGCAACAGGAGTCGACGTATATTAAAAGCGTATGTTTGCTTGAAAAGCCTCTTTATCCTGCGTTGTTTTTGTTATTCTTTTTTGAATAGTTTAACTTTGAAAAAAAAAAACTAGAAACTGAGCGCATACAACAAGATCTATTTGACAATAAAAAACTACAAATCTATAGTCTAAGTCATCATCATAATTAGATGTTTTTTCTTCTTAATATATCTTTAATATTCGAATGGCAGGCAGCAGAAGGCCATTCAAGCTATTGGCTAATTTAACCAACTCCATAACCTTTCTGAATGAATTTGTTTTTCTAAGTAGCAATAGATTTCTAGCTGGTCTGCTACATGGCGATCAACTGATACAAAAAATATGCAAGGCAATGACTCCATACTGATTAGTGACTAAAGCAAATTTGATGTTAAAATCGTGCTTTAATGAAGAGCTGGGTAAGTTTCCGTTAAAAATATTTTCCGTTTTTCATTGGGTAACTAACTACAACTTAGATTCACCTTTTTCAATCATTTATGGTCCCGTGAACTTAATGGAACTAATGATACAGTTATTATGTTTCGAATACTCGAGACTTTATTATATGAGTTCTTCGTACTTTCAACTAGCTCTTCTAACGCATGGCAAATTAAGCTTAGCTAACCTATTTCGCTACGTTTACCCAGACCACGATCTAATTTCTATAATAATGTGCGTATCTAATAAAGACGACTGTCTTTGTCCAGACTAATTTAAGTACAATAATATAAGTTTATTTTGATCATTATGATTAAGGATACTGCGGCTCCCAGTCAACATGCAACAATTGTGTCCATATGTGTGACTGCTTCTATGATTCGCCTTCCTACGGCTCGAATGTTCAAGCCATTCGAATGAAGAAGACGGACTTCCTAACTTGCCTCGCAGTTCTAGTTATCTCCGCCGTCATTTGTCAAGACGGAAAATGGCGGTGAGAAACTAAGTTGTTACATTCCTTCCTTAGCTCTTCATCACTCGACAGATTGAAGCCACGAACTGCCAGATCGAGCAAACATATTGTATATATATATATATATGCGCATGTATGTCTATGTATCATCATACCAGTTTCGTCATGATCATCATCACCATCGCATCAATTAGTGCTGGCGCTGACGATGGCTAAGGCACGAAGATATTGTCGCCGCCGTTATATAACTTACACACACTATTTCGTTTTGCCCCTTTTCTTTTTTTCTCTGTCCTATCGATCGCTGCCTAGTTGCAAGCCGTCGGCGCAGACCTTCGATTTGGCACTACGCTACCGTGTACAGATCGCACCACTAACATAACTAGTAGCGACCTCAGGGTAGCCATCTTGGCACAAAGCGCCCCCGCTAACGGTCTAACTGTGCTTAGCCCAGCTGGCATTCTGCACTCTGAACCACATTCTCCATTTTTTACGCGTCTGTTTCTGTGTCGGTATCTGTGTGTGTTCACGATATTTATGTACGATACCGTGTAGCCAAACGCATCTGTTAACGATGAATTACCATATAACTGGTTTCACGGAACGGCCTTGTCGTCGATGGCTCCTATCTTATGACGGTATAGCTTGTATTGATAAGACTATCTAGCGAGGATCTGTTTGCACCCGACAATATGGTGTATGTATGCGTTCAAGCGTCGGCGTCAGGCATTCCTCATTATATCATTTCGTGTTTGTTTTTAGCATATAGCATCAAGTGACCGTTCACTGATTCATCATTCTTGCTATTTCGGTCAAGATGTTTATACGTGTTTACGTAAATCACTAATAAAGAATAGTAATAATAGGAATAATGTAACATCCATTTACGGTCAACTAGCACGATTGCATGTGAAACTTTTGCAAAGAGAGTTCCGATTATAGCTACAGGCCCATACGCTGGACTTCTTTAGCCATCCGAGTTACTCTCTATTTTGTCCTGTTTGTGTGTTCCACCTGATTACTGTATCTGTCTTTTAAGGGATCAATGCATTTGTTCAACCTGCTTGATTTGGAGCTGTGATAGTTAATGGTGCCGCCTGGAGACTCCGGGGCTGAGAGGCATTTCAGCATACATGTTAATGGTATGACATGTGTTAATGTTAACAAGTGTCCGTCATGAAATTATGCCCCTTAGGCGGCCCCATGTAAAACAATCTTAGAGAAATTCAAAACGAATAACCCAGTGGATTGTCTTTTGAACAAGCCAAGCTATTATATGCCTAACATGTATTCACGACAGGATGTACTCGAAAAGGTCTAACTATTCACAAATCTTCCCAACAGATTCTGCAGTCGAGGGCCTCCAACAGCTAATTTTCTGGCGCTTTACATAATTCATTCTTGTAATTATAGTAAGAGTAAGTGTAAGTACTCTCGAAAAATACTCAACCGAGGCTACCTTAATAGTAGTAATCATACTCATCCATATTATGATGTAAAAAAAACTTATAATTGTTGATGATTTAAACAGATTCTAGTAGATCAACCGCCCACTAGTCAATCTCGCATTACTCCTTATGGCCGATTGTCCCAACAGATGTCTGTTCAACGTCACCCATATAGTCGATATATTCAAAACGTATTTAACATATTGATTTGGTTGATCTTTTCCGTCTCATTTTCTCGGAACACTGCGATGAGTGTCTGTCTTCTGGTGGGTAGAACCTATATTGTTGACTTATACGCACTTATATGCGATCACGCTTCTTCACACACATCTACTTTATTTGTAAACACGAACAAAAAATGAAAGAAAGAGTAGAAGTACACCATTCGCTTCGTTCCATCCTTCATCGGATTTTTCGAGAAATAAAATCCGTTATGAACGGCAAAGGGATATATTGTAGCGTACTTATGGCAAGGCCATGATAAATCGGCTGTGCTTAGTAGGTTTAGCGGCTTTAGGGGCCTGGAGGGCGCTCAGTTTGGAACAGGAAAGTGGTCAGTGTTTTCGGTGGTGGCAAACCTGGCTTTTTTTCTGTTAACTTGAAGGAATCTCGAACTCGCAGTTGTGAATCGTTGAGCCAGAAAGGGATACGAAGGTGCCGTCTGGGACGTTTTTATTCGAAGAGAAGGGCGTATCCCCCCCTCTCTCCATACATCGAACACTTGCTCTATAATACTAACGACTCATTCGCCCCAAAAACGATCTCTTTTTTTCTTCTAGAAATGTCAATAACAATTATGTAATATAGTAAAAACAGCTAAACGATTATTATCAGTTATATTATTATTGTCACAGTCAGCACAGTCACTAATCAAAATTGTTATAACTTTTCCCTCCCAAGTTTTTGTTCTTTGCAAGAATCGTCACGTCAAGAAACTTAGCTCTTCTCTTGGTGCTGACTGCTACTATTAGTTTTGTCAATAGAAGGATTGTGGGTACGAGCAAAGTGTAATGCATCTGACGAAGGCACCTAGTGCTTCAATATCAGGTTTATAGCACCCCAACCAAAGTAGGCCACAGACACAAACCTAATTTCTATCTGCACGCCCCAATAATTTCCTGGTCCTTTAAAGCGACAGCCTTCAATCGACGTGAATGTAACAAACAACCTGTCCAAACAATCCAGTCAACAATTATTTGCAGAAACGGCCTCAAAAAACCTCGCCATTTAATTTTTTTGTACTTCGTGTTTGTGCAGTATCCACGTTAGATGTCGCCACTGTAATCAGCCAACTCTTGGAAAAGTTTGCCCGCTAGACTAACTTTGCAACCTCCTCAATGCCAGATATCTTAAGCATGTTTTCTGCAAGAGTTTTACTCCCGGGACACCCCACGCACTATTCTCGACGTCCAGCGCCCTCCATTACCGTCATGGCCTCACACTCCTCTCCAGATTCTTTTCCCGATTGCTCAGAGAGCCATCAATCGATGATTAATACGAATGTAATTCGGTCCGCTTATTTTTCGCTTCATATACTATTCTGGGCGCTTACTTATAGGGCGCATAGCTATGATACATGCCCTCGTTGTTGCCCTTTTTCTGCAGCTTTTTCTATGCTACTGTCATAACAATGATTATGGTGCAATATTGGTCATACGATGCGTTGTACTTGTTAATGCTGTTCTGTCTGTGAGCTTTAGGTCATGTGTGACACGGACAGGCTGACAATATACTTAGAGGTAAAAAGGGGAAGGGGCCTATGGGAGAATGATGATTATGATAGTAGTCTATAATAATAATTATTATTATAGTAATTAATGGTTGTTAATTGAATGCATGATTTTGTCGTCCTCGTCCTATTTTTCCGCTTCTATGCCACAGTTCAGGTAGACAGGTTTCTTTTCCTGCTGATCTTTTTCGCACGTTGTTCCTTGTTTCATATTCTTCATGTATCACTGTATGTCTCCTCACTTCCCACTTTTGTTTGAAGCATTTATCCCTCGTTCGTTCTATTTTGCACTCTCGCCCCCGTTCCGGTACCTTCGCATTATCTCTGTGTTCCTCTTTTGCTTCCGCTTTCATTCGCTCGCACATGTTTCCATTAATAGTCACAATACTAATCCGTTTGCCCTTTCGATACTCGTATTGTCTAGGTTTTTATAGAATTATTAGCTTGTCGAGCTGCCACCGAAGTTTCGTCTCCGTCATAAGTTAATGCTTCCTCAAGTGCTTAGAGAGCCTTCTAGAGAACTTCTAGCTGCAGCGGCTCTTCATCCACTCAGTATGTTGACGTTGTTCCATTATGATTATTGTGTAAACGCAATTATGGAAGTCATGGATCGATTGTACTGTTTCCTTCGTAGAACGACGGCTTTCAAAGTTGTGATGCCATCTATGTTGTAGTACACAGCAGTCGGTTGGTCGACGGCTGTAAATTCGAACTTGGTTCAACCCTCTCTCTCCCCCTTTCTCTCTCTCTCTCTCTCACACACACACACACACACACACACACAAACACACGCGCGCGCATACACACATACAAATACAGATGACGTAGCTGGAAGGGGCATATTTCTTAATGTACGTTTCTATCGTTGGTGGATCCTTAGAGCCAAGTTAGAACTGAGTCCTTGTTATCGCTCAGAAGAGCCTCCATGTCCGGCAAGAGGTCAGGCATCTCGTTGAGCGATGGTACAAGGTCGTCGGAGTCCATCTGCTCGGGTCCCCCGACAGCGCCTCCTCCACCTACTCCAACTCCGCCACCCATCGCGTCCAACGAAGAATCGTCCATACCTATAGTAGAATGATAATAGGAAAAGGTAAAAGCAACGAATTTTCATTAAGAATCGTAACTTGATATGAGATAGACACAATAAGGAGCTCCAACAGTGATACAATCAAATAAACTTCGTCTGCTTCTTACACAGATGCAAATGGTTTCATTGTATGGCAGACGAGTACTATCATGGCTTCACACATGCAAATATAAACAGAGCATGGAAAAGATAATTCCGCTTTATCCCCGAAGCGTACCGGCGATGCTGTTCGGCGTGTTGTTATTATTTGTGCTAGTGAGACTACTAGTTCCGGTTGTGCTGTCGATTGAATTCAGAAACTCCTCAGGCGGCAGCGAGAAGTTAGGTCCTAGACCCAGGCCAGAATCTGCAGACTCCTGCCGCGAATGTGGGCCACCTAGGAAAGCATCTGTTAGGCTGCTATTCACGCCCAATTGGTTCGGGTTTACGACAACCGTATTGTTGTTGGGTTCCTGAAAATTTAAGACCGTTATCACAGCAGTTAGGATAACCAGTGGACCTGTGTGTATGTGTCATCTACGGCATAGTAATGTTCATAGTACGAAGGGTGTTAATTAAGATTTATAGGCAAATGTTTGATTGCTGTTTGCTTGTGTTCTTTAGAAGCGCTACATGCTATATAATGGAAATTAAATAAGGGAACTGTCCGTTAGGTCAGGTATTTTTTCTCTCAATATATTTAAATAAATGTCGACTGTCACAATTATTTATTCATTCACTGATAAAAAGGCACTGATAGAAATTTCCCATGAAGGAACTCACATTAGTTGACAGGCCGAACGCGGGTTGACGGAGGATCTCTTGCTGACGTAATTTCATCCGTTCTCTCTCAAGTTCCAGTTGTTGAATTCTTTGCATCTGCAGTTGCTGTATCTGCTGCTGTTGAAGCGAGAGTGACGAGGTAGCTGCACATACCGCGTTGATGCTATCTGTTGAACCGGCGTCTGCTCATCGGCATAAACAAAAGTAAAGCCAGTTATTACGCTAGCGATAATGATGACTCAGTTACTCACCAGGCATGCGGTGCCTTATTACATACGTATCATACAAGTAAAATTATGCTCAGTGATTCAAGGTTCAGGCAATAATCCCATAGTAACAGATATATATATACACACACATATATATATATGTGAACTTCCGTATAATTGCTACCTAGCCCCTACAAAAGACGAGGCTGCGCTGGTTGTGGAAAAGGCTAATTAAAGGAGATCGCCATTTTGACGACGGTAACAGCGTTATATACCACTTGTAGCATTGACTTTGTAACTGTTCAATCCGGTGATCACTGGCACAGGATGGACGTCGGCTCGGCAGCTCAGAGCATTTCGATTCCTACATTAAGCTATTATTATTATACTCACGTTTTTGCGCCGCAGCATATTAGCGTATAGTACAAATCACGACTGCTAGCAGCACGGACCGTCGCCATGAGTCAACGGTTATTAAAAGGAAAGCCATAACATCAACTATCATTGTACATCTTTCGTTCATTACGCATCCGAAAACGATTGAAATCTTTGGCGACGACTAGCTGGTGATAAGATAGCGTATCACGCTTTGTACAGACAGCCTGTGTTCATAGATCTAGTACACAATATGCTAAGCAGACGCCTTTTTGTCTCATCTATCGGTACGATAGCCATAATTTACTATCTATCGCTTAATCCTAAATTTATCAACGCTCATGCTATAACGCTATAGTTGCCTGATTTTACGGGATTCTGATTCCAGAACCACTCGTATCGCAGCACAGTATTCCCCTAAGTGCTGCGGCTATGGGGTACAGCCCTGTGATCGGGGCGCATTGCGAGCACAATGTACTTCTAAGAGACGGTTAATCCTACATCAGATAAGACTCTTATGTATATAGTTGTCCTGCTAAGAGGCTAGGCCAGAAACATTTTTTCGGCACTCCGAAACATCTACACTAGCGAGACTGTTCATATACGCTTCTCTTTTGCTTTGTTGCTTTCTTTGTTGCTTTTCCATCAATAAGTCCTGCGTTCCTGCACCGCTGAACGTCTCTATACAGAAATTCTCATTGGACAATTCTTCTTTTGCATAATTTTCATTAAGGAACAGTAACTCGCCGTTACTTTCTGTATTTGTCGTTGGCTATTGAGCTGACAAGACGTTTATTTTGTCCCTTTTCTCCCTTTACCACCATACAGCTTTACCCAAGCTGTGTATCTTCACCATCATCTTCATTATCGTGGTATTTCTTCATTCCTTTCTAGTTCTTTTCGCTTCAGGAAACTCCACTACGCCAGAAAGCGGTTTCTCTCGGTGGTGAAGATGCTTGGCTCTAGCCAGTGCGTTGCGATAGCTACGATGCGTCTGTGACCAAATCTGGATCGGCAGGAAACATCTTCTTGGGATGGGCCGCTGGAGGCTACAGAAAGGAACAGAACATCAACGTCGGCTGACATCGGCCGACGCCGATCACCTGACAACCGCTACGTTACATTTTGTCTCGGTCAGTGACGAGGGAAACACATGATGTGGTCATACGGTATTGTAGAACCAAGAGGAGAGAGAAGAACAGAAGGAAGATGCTGTCAGCAATAAAAGCATCGCGATAGAAAAAATACAGTAGCAAACCGTATTCGCTGTGCGACGCGACCGACCAGACCAATGAGCTTCGGGACTTTTCTGTGATGGCTTGGCAATCGGTTCAGCTTTGTTGTAATAATATTCATCTATTCTGATGGCTGATGAACGAAGAGTCAATACCAAAAGCCAATCGCTAATGCTGTTGCAGCAGCCGCTTCCGTAAGTGCCTTAGGCATAAAGTAGAAGTAAGACTTAGAGGACAATGGACACGGTTTTGGACGATGTACGCAACCGCCGACGACGCCGATTCCAATGTTGGCGTTGACGTATACGTATGCACGTTCCGTTTGAAAAAGCTGAGGCGTCGTACCATCGCTACGACAGAAGCTGCTGGCATGGGCGACGAAGTACACAGACTTGAGTCCCTGTACCAGGGTTGACTGGCACATACGAAACATTACGCAGATCGACACCCTCTGGTGCACATAAGCAAATACGTATGTAGTAATGTGTTTACAACAAACAGAAACGGCGCGCAGCCTAATATAAACGAAAATAGCAACGTCCAGCAGTCTTGCGCTGGTTGGAGCCGTACATAAGAAAACGGGGAACAGAAGGAATCATGGATTTGCTAGGAGGCTAGAGGTGGCTAGGTGAAGGACGAAAGTTAATCGAAGAAGCGAAAAAACTAGCCCCTTCATCAACAGCATTTTAGATGCTTATCTCCCGGTGACTAGCCTTTGAGGATGATACTGTTATATGCGATACAATGGAGGTTACATCGTGGAAGACGGCATGATAGTAACCGACCGCTCTGTTTTCGGAACGAGATACGAAAGAAGCCGAAGAGAAGAAAACGCAGAAAATACGACTGTTCAACGGAAAGATGTTCACCGCTGAAAAGATTGTTCATTGGTGATGAGAGCTCGACAATCGAAGCCTGATTGTTCAGTAGACTAGAATTTTGCTTAGTGCTGAATTCTAACGTTGAGAGCTTTAAGAATAACAAGCTACCGTCCGCTAGCACAACGTTCTAGTTGTCTAACATAAAGACACAGATCTAGCCACATTGAAAGGCTCTTTGGTCGTCTCTGCCTTCAACGTTTCGATCCTCTCAGATGTCTATTGCATCGAGCAAAAACAGAGCGGTGATCCTATGCTATCATATGGATCGTGGACGCAGACTCGGTTCTGTGTGGCGGTTCGAGTATACTTCTTTTGCTTTAACATCCTTTTGCTGCTACTTCAATTCTAACGTGCAAAAATTGTCACAGCTGCGCAATACCAGGAATTCTAAACCTTCCCTCGCCGACCTGCTTGACTATTAATCAGATGCATCAGTCAACTCGATGGGTCGCCGGGGAACAAAGCGGTGCCGCGCGAGTTGTTGATTTATCGGACCACGATCAAGCCAGCACCGGCGCCAAGGCAAGCTAGTAAGTTGGCAAATGAACGACCGTATGGTTAGGCAGCTATATGTGAACTTCGGTGCACCCCTTGATGAGTATAAAGTTTCCAAACATAAGCTTTTACTACAAGTAAACAATGCGCGATGGCCATTGATAGAAGCTCGTGACGGCGCATCGTCGACGTAGACCAGCATACACGTTCATAGACATTCACTCACATTCAGATCTAGAGATACACAGATCTTCGTATTCATATCTATACATTCGGCTGAGTACAGACCGGTCAGCCAAAGCCGAATTTGCTAGAACCGCTCCGATCTGTGGTATTGTGCACGAAAGCACCAGAACGCCGCTGCGTTTGCTGCCATTAATCTTTGGAGGTTACTTAGCTATAGGCTCGCAAGAGGCGAAAACCGTACAGGCGATGCGTGCTTACATCGTTGCTGCATCGATAGCATTTGTAGCGGTAGTTACTCCTGCAGCGTCGAAATGCATCGCTACTTACCGCCAACAACAATAGCGTCAGACAGCAGCCATGGTGAGTGGGCCAAGCTAAACACTGGGCTAACATAACCTAGTTTTATCGAACAAAGACAATCGACTAGTCGCAAAGGCAGAGCCTCAAATGACCACGAACCCAATAGGAGTGAAGACTCAACGAAAGCCTTCTGAAGGAACATATTCTCGATGCAACTCAACCAATGGCTTAGCCAACACGCTAACTGACTACACATATAAAATATCCTATATATAATCTCAGATGTATTTACATGTTGAACGTTTATTGAATCCTATCGATCTACCTTCGATTTTTCTTCGTTCATAGGTTCTTGGGTGGTATACGTCATTGGTAAAGAGTTTATAAGACATGGGTAAGTTTCCTATAGTAAACTGCATAGATCTGAACGAAAGCTACGATAAACCTCGGTCTCAAAGACGAGGTGCGCTTTCACGTTCCCTCAAAGACTATGCAGAGTTTGACAAACCTTGCCGACTTTTCTCAGTGTGCTATGCTACACAGCCAAGGAGAAAAGCTAGTAAAATAGTTCCTCAAATTATTATTCTGTTACCGTTAGATCCTACGTAACTATAGAGTAGCGAGGTGGATATTATAACCTGTGCTTAGAGCCGTTATATATATGTAACTTGGCGCTTAGGCATGTTCAGCAAAAGGATCATGACTTTTGTTTCGATACATTATAACAAGATAAGATTAGTTGGACAGAGCAACTGGATAATAATTTGATGAAGTTACTATATTAACTTAGCACTAGGAACGCGTCGTATTGCTTTTCATTGAAATTCATGCCTCCTTCACATACATTGCATCATAATATTAATAATGAATGATCTTATCAATTCTAACGCCTGACTGCCAATACTCTGGACATCACGTTACCTTTCAGGTTATGATTTGAGCCAAGTGGACTGTGCAGGCCAGGAACCGTATGATTTTGTGAGGCTTCCATAGTTTGTACGTCCCCGCTACTCGATGCTGCCCCCTGTGTGGCATTCTGACGTGCCATATATTCAGCTTTCTGAAGGTGGGTAGGAATACGCGGGTCAAACCACGATGTAGTGCGGTTATTGTGGTTGAGGAAGTATACCTCACCGTCGCTTGTCGTTCGCTGTTCCCAGCCGGCGGGTAAAGGTCCTAGAGTCTCGGCGTTGATCACCGATGGATTTGTTGTGTGCGGCGGAGGCGGCGCAGTGGCACGCTGTGTTGCCCTCACCTGGCCTGAAACGCGTTTATTGTGTGTCAAGGGGGCAAACCACAAAATGAGTACGTTAATACAAATATATAATACAATATGATAAACAGTTATGGTAAGACCAGCCGTTATGATTAAAATACGATAATATTATTTTTACATAGAGGGTTGTCTGGTGTGGGGTATCCTTAAAATGACCCCAGCAAAGGAACAGATGAATATATTTACATCAATCTTTTTCTGTTATAAATATTATACATTTAAGATTTTATTTAAGAAATATATTAAAATAGTCAACTCCTCAGCTTTTTATAAAACCGTTGTTCACTTCAGCTAATTTTTAAGTACTTGCTCTTTGTTTTTCTTCTTTCTAAAAGAGCCGTACGCCAAAAAGCTATTGCCTGGTACGGCATCCTGCGGTCTTCGTTTTCGACGAAACTCTAGCGAGGATCTTAGGTCCTTTTTGCCGCAAGTACTTGAAAAAAGTCTGTAAAACATCGGGCTTCAACAAACTGGCCCATTCCTCCATATAACTAATAGCGGAAGCGCATCATTGAATGGTCATTTTGGCTAGAGGCTGATCCTCAAAAGGTGATGTAAATTGGTTTCCCAAATCATGGGGCATAACTCTGCTCAATTTCATTTCATGGAAGTATTTAAAAAACAAGACTATGTCAAAATGTACTATGATAAAGGAAATATACATGCCGCCATTGCAGAGATAGGGCATATGCAGAACAAAAACTCAATGAAACGAATAATTGCTATGAATAAAGTTAGGATAGCGGACCTCACTGGCGTTATATGTATGTAAAATCTTTAATATACGTAGTTTGGTATTATTTTGGACCTACCTCTGATCTAATGGCCGTCTCTTCAGCATTATCGAATAGGACAAACGATCGACTGTACAAAGAACAATTCAAATTGAAAAAGACGCATATTGACTGAAGCTGCACGTTCCTCTTATCGCTCTTTCGCAAACATTATTCCAAGACAAAACACGCTGATGTATGTCGATTGCAAGGAAATAACATTACTACTTAAGGTGATTTGACCAAATCAGCTTATCATGTTGAGCTCTAAACACCTATTGGATGAATTTCGTCAAAATTACTACACTTACTAAACAACGAGCCAGCTATCCAGCCTGTAATAATTATACGTTTCTGCCTAATTATAAGTTCTAGAGAAAAATCCAGTTTTAATGTTTTATCTCACTGTCCTTGTCTATCGCAGGGTAACGGACACGTTCGACAATTCAAAATGCTAGGACTTTGTCATTGGTGGTACGATATGATTGCCTACCGCCTCTCAGTATTTGTCTTACCATCGCAAATCGTTAGCGTTAATCAAACTGAATATGAACAGCGATGCAGTTGTCTGCCTGAGTGGCCGATTTCGCTTCCCACAACAAACAAGAGGATTTGGAAAAAAAACTTGAATTGCCGCCGTGACAACAGGCGCTCGTCCCGCCATGCCCGCCTTTCTGACTCTAAGGCAGCGAAGCATCGTCAAGAAAAAGGGAGAGTGAGTGAGTGAGTGAGTGAGTGTGTGTGTGTGTGTGTGTGTGTGTGTGTGTGTGTGTGTGTGTGTGTGTGTGTGTGTGTGTGTGTGTGTGTGTGTGTGTGTGTGTGTGTGTGTGTGTGTGTGTGTGTGTGTGTGTGTGTGTGTGTGTGTGTGTGTGTGTGTGTGTGTGTGTGTGTGTGTGTGTGTGTGTGTGTGTGTGTGTGTGTGTGTGTGTGTGTGTGTGTGGTGCGTGCGTGGTGTGTGTGTGTGTGTGTGTGTGTGTGTCTGTGTCTGTGTGTCTGTGCGTGTGTCCATGTGTGAGTGCCTACGTGTGTGTGTGTGTCTGTGGGTGCAAGAGAGAGAGAGAGAGAGAGAGAGAGAGAGAGAGAAACAAAGCACACATTGGCACAAGATTGGCAAGTCGTCAATCGTTTACAACTTACTTAGGTTCCTCCTCCGGTATTCCTCTTTCAGCCTTCAATCTACCTTTACTTTTGCTAGTAATAGTAGCGACTGCTTGACTGTAAAACATCTTTCAGCCAACATCGGTGCTATTCACGTTATTGCATGTGAGTCATCCTGCTCATTGCGGGACGGACTGGCGGATGCCGCCGGAACAGTAAAGAATAGAGGACGGAAGTAAAGAGAGGACTGAGGGAACAGCCAAAGCTTGGATACGTAGGTGGTCACAAACGGTGTACGAAGGTGCAGAACGGAACTAGTTGCCGGTTACTGGGCATCGTGGACCAAGGCAACTGGGTCAAAGGCGCACATGAGGCAGCAGCAATAGCTGCGGCATAGCCACCATCACAATATAAAGGTAATGGCGCTACGCAAGCTGGTCGCCATCCAAGAGCGCGAAAGCACGCGTTTCGTTTGGGAACAAGGCTGATGATGCTGAAGTTTCGAAACACGTAAATACGACCTGTGGCTGGGGCTCGCGCAGCGGTCGGTGTTTGAGCTAATGCCTTAGCTATTACTAATGCCATCACTCATTCTTGACTGCTGCAGCGGCAGAGGCAATGAGCGATGGCAAAAGAAGGGTTAGAGAATTAAGATTTCAGTTGGGTCAACCAGCGCCACATCACCGATATCGACTCTTTGCACCCCCATTGCGACTATCGTACCGCCGCTAGCTAATTACAATGATTGAGTGTGAGTCTATACATCCGCTAGGGCGACTCCGATCGATGAATGTGTGACAGCGTGTATGTACGAGCGTGCGTCTGTATTGGCGTGTATGACAAGTCGACGGCTACCAAGCAGCCAAGCAGTGCGCCAAGAAGCGGGGAGACCGTACGCGGCCGCAATTACACCTACGCACAAAGTTGTTATAGACTGCATGAATGAGCGAAATACGTAAGCTGTTCATTGAGCAACTTCATTTACTACGATACTACGACTACGGAGGCGACAGCAGTGGCAGCGGGAGGAAGGCCAGCGCATTGGTTCGATTGGACATCTAAGTAGCCTTATGACGAAAGGGGTCGACGCCGAGAAAACAATACAACTCGTTGGAAATAAAAGGGAATGTCGCTCGAATGGTCTTATGGAACAATTTGCCCACGCTGATCAATCAAGAGAAGACCCGCAGTAATTTATGTCGGCGCCTTATTGTGAATGATACGAATAGGGGATTCAAAAGGTAAACATTGCTTAGATGCAAAGAATGATCGCAGGCGCCGGTCAAATCAGACAATGTGGCCAAACACTTAGTAAGTAGGTCATGCCATCTAGATATTAGAACAATGTCGCATATCCTTATGGATGTTGTTGCATCACTTAAACTAGAACATTAAAAGGAACGATGATGGCAATAATAAATGAACAAATAATGCTAATGACCAGAAGACAGGCCGTTCCACAGTACTATTATAGAAAAACTCCGAGCTTTTCCTGACGAACCACGCAAGAAAGGACCATGAAAAAATTCCATTATTATTAAACATCCGTTTAAGCATTTGAACGAAGTGTAGCAATCACCGGCCTTTCTGCTTCGACATGTCTACGAGACAAGATGTCTACCCCAAACAGCACGCAGATATACCTACCGAACATAAAAAAAAAAAGAGCAAAAGTGTGGGAACAGTGCCGAATAAATGCCGTTCCACTAAACACTAAAACGGGAGCGGAACGCCAGTGTAACGCGGACACATTACCAAATCGTATAGGATTTGATGCAAGAGTCGCTTCCAGCCGGTATTTTCTGTCATTTGCACAGTTCAGTAAACTCGAAGCCATTACAGACGTATGTGTTTTTTGTCGCTCATGAGTCATCGTGATCTTAACAGACCTGCGCATTTGGTTTGTCGACAAAGTACTTTACCATTAAGCTTCTTCCGGGGATCCTCCCAGGTCGTTGTGTGGGTTTCGTGATTGAGGTAGTAACGTTGTCCGATAGAGGTGCGCATCATTTGCCAGCCCGGCGGGAGTGGGTCTTCGTCAACCAGATCATAACTTTGTTGCCTGAAATATCATGTCACACCGCAGAACCAAGCCACAAAGGCAAACAATTGCTAGTTATCTTCTTAGCATTATTATTCGCTAGCCCTATCTCTGGCCGTCAATCTTTCGATGTAAATACATTTGATTTTGGGCTGGCAGCAAAACAGCAGTCGCCAAGCTCGCAGAAGATAGAGTACTGGTGTCTTCCGAAGTCTGTTGAGTAATAGGCAGGGTATAGCGTTTCAACTGGTTCATGTTTTCCAACTTGAATACAACTTTACTAATATAGACATAGCGCATAAGTAATCATTGCTTACTGATCCAACCCATTTGTTTCTCTAGTTAATGCTTGTTCGTTCGTCCCAGGGGACAATTTTCCAGTGGTTTAGGTTGCAGCGAATCAACTTAACTGGCCGGTGTCCATCATCGAAAAATTCTATATTCATTGGCTGTTTGTAACCAGCTGAGTCGGTCGACTGCTAAACGAGTACACGCTGGACCCTCCCAATGCCAACCACCCGCTCTTCCACCGGGTCAGGTTGTATTATTATGATTATATATAGCAATCTCGCGAAATTGCCTAGCATGTGTATATGTATGAAATGGTTTTTAAGCCCCTTTTGATGAATCGCTAAGTCTGGTAATAACGTGGACGACACTTCGCCTAGCGTGAAGAGGTTAGATTATAGTTGACGTTAGTTCAAATTAGAGCAATGACGCGCTGTGTTTGCTAATTCCCTGTTTTGTTCTGACAAGGATAGGCTTTCTTCTAGCGTCAGAAGGAACGCGTCAACACACTTTAGTTTACTCAGATTTAGGAGCCTCACTATATATATAGCAAGAATATCGTAGTTAGGCCTACAGCGTACTGCTGCTAGAGGCGGCGATATCAAAGCATCCATTCAACAATGACGAAAGGATAAAATGCATTTTTTACGGTACTTAGACGCTCCCTAGGATTAGGAGACGCTTGAAGTTTTCCAAGTACCATTAATCTTTGTCTACCAGTCCTACCGCCGTGCTCCGTATGCATCTATAAAACCATGACGTCTATGATTAGTAAAGCATACTTGTAAATCCTGTTACGGCGCATCACATGGAACTCTTTGTAGCGGACTCTAGACGCTCTAAAGCTCAGGAACAATGTAGTCGTATTATATTTGGAATTAAGTGTTGTCGACTTCACACAGGGTTTCTGTTGAATCGTAGCTATTATTGTGAGCGTAACTTTAAAGAAAATTATATTAACATCCTTATTACTTAAAAGCACAGTATTTTGTAAGTTAAACACAGTGCTGATTGTCGTGCGTAAACAAATCGACTGGACAAATACTGGAATGATCATGGGATAAGAAATTCCAGCTAGCTTTATATATATATATATATATATACATACATGATAAATTTTAAGGGTCCGCGTGCAGGTAGCACGAAGGAATACGGTTCGTCATAACTTCTTAAACATCACTCGCTACTCTATTTGGCCAATTATCAACTTAACTAATAACGTTAACTAAGACTCCTATTTTCAATGATCGTTTCAATAGGTAAGTTATACACAGTGTTGTAGAGCCAATGTTTAATAACAGTATGGCATTTCCATTTGTCATATGATGTAGAAAGCAACGCTGAATGCTAATCCTTCTAGGCCAAGCAGGAACAGGAACAAACACATACACATATATATATATATATAATTGCAAAGGTGTGGCCCATCTCGAAAAAATGAGTAATCCGCACGCAGATCAAGATCTTCTCAATTTGTCGTCTTATCAACTAGGAACTATTGCGGCAGCTGTTTGCTTACTGCCAAATTTGAAATGATCGTGGAAATAAACTATTTGGCATTAAAATTACCTGTTTAATATCGTCAAGCTGATAGTTCTAATATGATCTAACATTAGCGACACAGTGAAGGGAGTAACAACTAATTCATATATAATATATTATCTTTAAAAGCACCTATATTTAGGAACGGCCTGCTATGCTACAAACATATTAGCAATATATTTGTAGTGTAGCCCGATAATAGTTGTCTGTTTTTTCTACGATCCAGCGAGTTTGAAATGACCAACGATATATGTTACATTTTTACGAAACAACAAATGGTCGCCAACCCAAGATTTTGACAATACACCATCTACTAATTGATATAATCTGGCTCCTTTATTTAAATAACAAGTATTTTACGAACATAATGTTTAGGGAGTATCATCGTGAACTTTCCGCGATGTCTACGAGCGAGATCCTAGCAAACTTAGGGGGCGCCTATTCAATGAACGGTTGGTAACAAGTTCTCCCCCTCTGGGAATGCTGCGTAGACTGCATTTAATGCGTAACAGAAATAGAACGTGATTCAGCGCGAAATCCTTAGCTCGATTGTTCGTCGTACTTTGATTTAGCTAAAACCTGATTATATATTATGTTATAGTTCAGTCGAAGCACTCGTAAATTTCATTAATAAGGGCGACCCTACCAGGCCCGGTGCGTTCACCGGCGCCGGCTTCTCGCGCACTAACAGACAATCAATAATCCAATAAGGCGGCTTGCTACAGAGATAAATGTTTTCAATACAGCCCCTTGTTTGCCATCGTTCATTTTTTTTTTTTTTTTTGATTTCTCGATTGTGAACAGAAGTAATAGAAGTGAGAATTAGGTGAGAAACAAGCGTTTGATCAGCAGCAACGCGATCTATATACGTATGCCAATCATATAAATCCAGCTCTGTTTTTGGGCGTTACTCCCTATTTATCCGCCTCTGTATAATTTATTATTATTGTTATTATTATTATCAGAACGCAAAAAGCGCCAGACAGGTAAATCCACCAAATATGTCCAACACCTAAAGGGAATGCATACGGATGGCTTTGTAAATGCAGCCATGTGTGCGTCAGCAAAGCCAAAATAGACGTATAACTTATTGAAAGTACAACATGGAGAAATTTTTTTTTCCTGCCTGGCAGAAACACTAGCAGATTGTTGTTGTTGCTGCCGCTGCTAATATGTTCACACAACCCTTTTCTACAAATAGGGGTATTTTTAAAGTAGACCAGCAGGAACAGCCTGCTCACTATAATTTGTTGCCTCTGTCCAGCTCAATCGCGACCACTACGTATAGTGTAGCTGGTAGTGTATTTAGTACACTAGTATATCCTTCATATGTATAATTATAGCTATTCTAGTGTTCATTAATTAAGCTCAATTAGCAATGGAAACAGACTATGATTATGAGGAAAATCTGGTTGGTACGTTTATTTGCTGCTGGTTGAGGGTGGGGGCGGAGGTGGGGGTACCATTGTTGACTAACTTTAGCCGCCGAAAATGAAACTTATTGTACAGTTAAGTGAAGATGTAAAATAGCGTATGATGTACAGAAAAGTTCATAGTTCATCTTTATCCCATTTGGTTTCTTTCTAAATCTGAGTAAAACCTATAAAATCGTTATCGGACAAGGTGAACGACGCTGTGCCTCGTAGGCCTGAGTTCATCCCTCGACAACTTGACTGCTGTAACTAACAGTTGTAGTCCTCTGCCAAATGTCGCAAAACTAATTTCAGCCAGTATACCCCATCTGACCATACTTAATCCGCGTAGGCGGTTACAATACACCACATTTGTGCTGAAAAGTCTTACTAGTTTCCATGAATTATGAGAAATCAAACTAGTTTCCCCTTTTTATCTATTAAGCTCAGATGAATAAGGACCCATTTTCTGTACGCTGTACTACGTATGATGGCGCGCCTAAATAAAGCATTTATCAATGCAGATAGCTCTATCGCACCATCTGATATGAAACAAAATTCAAGAGTTTTCAAGCGATAAGAATCGACAGTCGGTCGAGGCCTCGATATCAATATTCGTATATCAAATTTTTGTCGATACGCGCCCGGCAAACTGCTGCGTTGAGGTTAGACGACGAATCTGTCTGCTGGCGACTAACTTCAAATTATTAACAGGGCTAGAAGCCTAGAACGACCTCGATAACCTAGCTAGAGTTGCCCACCAGGGTAAGGCTTGGTACAATTGAACCACAGAAAACACAGTTACCGCGACCAGTCTGTTTCGCAAAGCACAATAATAAAATGTACGCCGAAAATCTCCTGTCCGTGGTATGGCCATAAAGGCCATGAATGTTCAGGAGAGACAGCTTCCCCGGATAAGAGCCTCCCTTAATCTTGAAGTCCAAATACTTATTTTGGTAGTTGCATCTCGACGATAACTCTGCGCCACTGTTTGGTAGGATCGAAAGAATAGCGCGAGTAACTTAGTCTTCGCTTATTTATACGAAGTTGTACGAACCAAAATGTTCGACTGGGCTTTGACGCAGCTTAGCGCATCAATAGGTTCCGTATGAAACGTTTTTTCATCAAGCACCAAATTATAAGGTACGATCAACACCGGATCGAACTAAAATAAGAACCAACCCGTCCAATAATTAACCACCTCCTACTTCTAGTAAAAACTATAAAAATAGTAATAACAAAATAAATCAGTACTATTTTAGCGTCTGAAAGCATTTGTCATTTGACTTGCTTTATTCAGAATTGCCCTTTTAGCATTAAGGTATTGCGCAAAAGATGAGATACGGCGAAACAAACGCTACCATACTCGATATCTGCCTTTATAGAAAACTATACGACACATTCACTGCAATTAATATTGTCCATATCGCGTGTGTTTATTTGTGTCCCAAAAAAAAACATTAGAACACGCTTTGTTGCCCTATTGTTCGTTTTTTTCGAAATCACAAAATACATTACTTGATTCTATTACCAGCATGTTTTTACACTATTCGTGGCGTTTCCCTAAACTCACTGTAACATTTCTGCTAGCCAAACCAAAACTGTTCAAGTACCGAAACGAGACTGTTACTATTAGCATTGTTATTACTGCTATGATTGTAACTTATGGCCATGACCAACACGAAAATTGGGAAACCGAAGCAGAAGGCATGCTGCGTGCTCTGCGTGCCTTACTGATGCTATCTGGCACTCTGCCTGATACTCCATCTGGCCCCACCCTGTCCGTAGAAGTAACGTACTACTAGCATGGCTTATAGGGACGAAAAAAGAGATCGACGACAAGCTGCCAGCTATCAGCTGAATTCAAACAGTAGTGGCTACGTAGCCGCGCCAAACATACATGCACCCTCATACGCATGACGGTAGTTATACATAAAATAGATCGTCTATGCCATTCGTGCACACGAAATTTTAACAGATAAGTGCCTGGCGTATAAACACGTAAGAACAGTATATTGCCACATGTATGTAATACAGAGAAAATTAAGCTAATTTAAAAGTTGATCAAATCGTGACCATTTATTTGACGACTGCGTTAATGGAAGACCGTCAGACTATATGTGATAATGATCTTCTGTAAAAGTGGTCACAGTTGTCTTCGGTGCTAACCTAATCCGGCTCAAAATTACCAGCTACTTTACGTCGTATAGCAATACTGTTAAAAATTCGCTTTTTTTTTTTGGACAATATTCGAAAACGAAAGCAATGGACCTTTATATGCAGCCATCCTATTCGCGGCTGGCTCTGAATTTAATCTGCTTAAATTACAGTTGTGCGCCAATTTGAATGTAGGCTAATATCGCATCAAGATTAGTGTTTGAGGATTTCCCATGGAACATGGTTGACAAAAACACACGTATGTCAACGATAATGATAAAATATGTAAATCGACAGGTTTTTTGAGCTGGATCTCACTCGGTATCTAAATTTGGCATTTAGAAACGGCTTCGTCTTGTTAACGAATTTCTCTTTGCCGTATTTTGCAAACTACGGCGTCTTTCGATGACACATACGGACTGCCATAGTAACATGCGAACCTCTACGATAGTGATACTTCTGCCAGCCATGCTATAATAAACAAAGCTGTAACATACAGGAGTCAATATGTCGGCTGAATGGAAAACACCTAATATCCTAAGAGGTTCAAACCATTACAGGGACTCGTATATTGCTCCAGCCAGTACGCAACAGTCATTTGACTGATCGCGTTAGTTATGGCGGCGTGCGAGACAAAAGAGGCGACCGTAGATACCGACGTACGGCGACGCGTTTCTAACAAGAATTATATTGCCTTCAATCGTGAAGATATCCGTTCCTATCACCGAACCGTTGACAGCATAGTTATAGACGGCTCGTATTTTGAACTATTAAATGAACCTACTTATCCATTTTCGTTTCGAAAGTTGATTCGGAAAATCGATTCCCGATTTCCGAAGAAGATAATTCTATTATAATGTTTACGATTAGCTATGATATAGCTTTATGATTTGGGGGCTGATGCCTGATCAGACTCAGACAATCTGTACGAGGACGGTAGTCTGGGGAGGTTTGATGTTATCCTTTTATTAGCAACCGGTATTAAAATAAGGTTTTGTTGGCGGTGAAGCTCTGCGTCGTCATAATGCTCAAAAAATCCTGTTAGAAAAGTAGCTCAGTGTATATCTGCGATGCCCTTATTAGTTTTACGAGACACCAAATGCTCACTTCAGAAGCTCACGGCCACGCAGGCCTGTACACACGGTAGTACACTGGGCAATCTTTGTAGGGGAGCCGCTAGCCCGAGACTGCGTGTGGGTGAAACCTTAACTGTCAATCAAGCGATATTTCGGCATGTACAGAAAGCGAACTCACCTCAGGGTAAATTCAGTATGTAAACCACTTTCGGAGGATTTCTAATAACTAATACGATTATTTTTTACTCGAGATTAAAGAGGGCGGGCATGGCTGAATAGGAGATCATTGGCCAACATGCTTCAGCATCTCCTCTCATAAATTTACCTATGTGAATATATCTATCTCATGTATTTGTATGCTAACTAAAGTTAATGAAAATGACAAAAAAAGGATTTAACATATTTTCTATATGGTTTCACAAGAAGCAAAAACTTAAAATCTTGTTGTGAAAAATCATTATTTTCGAAGGCAAGATGTCGATCCATCCTCTTTTCTGCCTCTTTGAATACAATTAGTAATTGCGCAGAAAATTATCATCACCACTTGGTCAAATTCTCAAACGCTATCTACTTAAGTGGTGTTGTTGTTATCATTATGTTAATCACTGATAAGCACACAAAAGGCTAAACTAACAAAACCAGTCATTAAAAACCTCATAGAAAGCTCGTCTAACCCAAATACACTGATATAGTTAGTTGATTGCAGCATTGAACAAGATGGGTCAACCCTGAGACAAGGCGTACCTTCCATTCTACATACATAGGCCAACACGAGATTAATTTAAAGCTATAAGGCTGATACAATACGATGCGCATGCGACTTCTGCAATCAGTTTGGGCCATCGTCAGCAGCGAAACTCACCTGGCATGTGTAGGTTGTTGCGGGGCGGACCGGTAGGTCTGTTCGAGTGAAGCTGGTGACGAATGGGCACGAGAGTGGTTTACCACAGGTTTGGCAATTTGTCCACTCAACGCAGTAGCACCCTCAGCCGGCTGCTGAAAAAAAGACGGCGGAAGGTTTCGCATCCGCATGGGAAGCTGGCCGGTTTTAGTTGCGCCACCTGCAAATATAACAACGAAAATGAAAATAGAATTAAAAATCGACCCTCCTCATCGCAGAAAACGACGCTCGTTTTTTACGGCTTTTTCCTCATGGTCATGCACGTAAAATATACAAAAAATTACAGAAATTTCCATTGTAAAATGATTGTCACGGTGGACAATAGTGTAGTCGACCGAATAAGAATTCAACAGTTTTGAAAATGCAAAATTGCTCGTCTTGGCTCTCTCTCGACTAGCCTGAACGGTATCGAAAAGTGGCAGGTGGACTGCGAGGAAAAATATCGCCGTATGTTGTTCAATAGAGAATTACTGCTCTAAAAGCTAAGAACGGAAAAGTAAGAAGAATAAGGTTCCTTCGTCCTAGATCAAGACGAAGTAAGTTTGAGCTTTCAGTACAATGTACACATGGTTTGATTATTCTCCTACTCAGTTAGAGATCAATTCTCTCGTTGGTGTCCTTATTGTGGAAAATACACTGAAGCCCCTTTTCATGTTCCGCCATCGGTATATGCTGCACTAAACGTTTTGTTAGATAAAATAAAAACAGAATATATGTTAATACGTCGTTGTTTAAGAAAAAAATACATTGACTGAGATGAACACGCGTCATTTAACGAAGGCTAGGCAGCCTATAAGCAAAAAGTACATAGGTATATAGAAAGTTACATACAGAAATAATTTTCTGTGATGTATCAAATTGTCGACCTGCATCCAACAACGCCTCGCACCACCAGTTTGAGAGGCGTGTAAGAAAGCACGTATATACGTGAGAGCGTTAAAATCGTCTTTACTTCTTAGATATTTTCTGCTCTATATTATGTTCAATCAATAAAATATGACCCTTAGAACGACGTCTGCATTTACGATCAGCAAAAAGAAATTACGTCAGATTGCGAATCTACCCTTTCCAAGGTATCGCTACGTACCTTCCTAAATATACTAGATAGCCAAATAAGTGCATAGCGTGTGTATGAACTTACCCGGCACGAGTAATCGTTTTCCTGTCGATCAGTTCCATGTGTTATGGTCGTGTTTCCATAGTACTATTTATATACACGTACATCACTACCCTGTAAGGTTGGCTAATTATACAATGCTTCAATGACAACTACATGAGCATCCGGAGATATGAACACTCCGGAGCGTTTACTGTTCCATTTGGCACAGTCTAGTTCATAAACACGGCCTACTGCTATTGGGACATCTTCTGTTACGGCTGCAGGCCAATATCGTATTGGTTATTATGGCTGCTATGTCGGATTTCGCATCGACCACCCCGATGGATTGCCCTGCTGCCAGAAATGCTGCAAAGCAGAACAATTGCCGCTTTTTTTTTGTCGTGGCTTTCACTAGCGATCCATCGAAACATAACGTAACCCGCTTCGAAGGATCAGTGGTGGAAAATCGTTGAGTGGTTTGTGGTACCCACTCTGAACGGCATCAGGAGCACGTGGACAGTTGGCGGAAGCGGCCTCTTTGAGGACCCCGCTGACTTGACGGACAACACTGTGACGCCGTCATCGTAAAATGACAGTGGTTATAGTAATAACGATTTAGCATTATTGACACGATAGACTTTTCTGTGTGTAAATAACTTTTGTTTCCGACCTTGTTCCGAGCCTACGTTGTTCAAATAAAAACGTAATCGTCCGATTACCTTGTGCTCTGTGTGCAAAACTGGCTTGTACTCCTGGCTGTGTTCTTCATTCATAGCTACTGGTGTATCGCTTGTTCTTCTCATAGACATGAACGAAAGAATGTCATCGACTAGCTCAACCCGCCATACAACGGTACTTGATCATCAGTAAGGCAGTACGCATGGCCCACTATAGATGAGAATACACTGGGCACGAGTCGTTCGGCAGCCTTATGTTCTGCCCGTGCCATTCGGGTAGAAGTTGTTACAGCCACTGTTTCACGATAGCGTAGCAAAGGGCACCTGCGACAGTCTGTCAATACGTTGTCTCTTCTGCTGTTACCAGCACATCGACATCACAATAATACGCAACGGGCCCCGGGAATAGGACAAAGAACGGAGACAGAACGCCGCGAATGTCCGCGCTATAATGCAACACTGATGTGGTCTCCTTCCACGCATAGCGCACGCCAGTGAAGGTCGTGCCGTTAGTGGCAGTGATCGAAGTGCAATAACAACTGGTAAATTGAACCGTTACCCGTTGGCGTTGCTACAGCAGCCAACAATCTTCTGCTGATTCTTTCTGCCGTCGTTGCTATTTCGCTATCTTCCACGGCGTCTTATGCGTCGGCTTTGTTTGATCTTCGCAGGCGGCAGCGCCTGTCTCGCTGGGCCTTTTCTCGTAGACGAACGACGACACCTAAAGAAAACCGGGGTAGCTGGCAAAGCAAGAGACTGGGTCGTCGTCGCCGTCGTCGTCGCTCACTCTGAAACATCACGGCAGTGGCCGCGACAGCAGCAGCAGCAGCAGCAGCAGTACAAACAACTATTTGTCTTTGGACACATGCAGATGTCGCAGCGATGGTGGACATAGGAACTATCGCAAGCGACAGACTCGAGGCGGCCTACGACAGACAGGCAGACGACAGCGTGTCTGAAACGCACAAGAGCACCACCGGCGCTTATTGCTCGCCCGCTGTATGTAATTTGCACATATTCGTGTCCATATGCGTTGTGCGTCCTGGGACGACGTTCGCAGTCACTACGAAGGAAAACAGCACAACTTTACATAGACGGGCTGGCTCGCTCCCACAAACAGCTCAGCCATATCGGCATTAGCAACAGCAGTCAGCTATACAATACCATGTCTAGTCCAACCGCTAACGATAGGCCAATAGAATAGAATATATTCTCGTCTAATTTTTTCTAACTTTCTCGCCCATCTAATTTTTCACCCAAACCCATTGTTCCCCCCTTGGTCTATTTTTTGTGTCCGTGTTACCCATCCTTGTCAGTCTCCTAGATGCATACATTGTTTAATGAATGCATCTAGGAGACTGAATGTCCCGTTGCGAGCTCAGCTTTCGTTCGTCTTTGCACCCCAACAAGCGTTTGTTGTAGACCGAACAATGGCAAACGATGTGGTATGGCTCATTTTGCAATCTGCAGTCGTCGTCTGGTCGCTTTGTCACAATTTCGAATCTCTTATGTTAAATAGAATCAACATCGTCAACGTCTGTCATCTAGCGAACGCACTCGCATAATCGGTCTACTGTCACCCACGACGCGTATAAGTTGAATTCAAATGCCTCGGTTTATTGACGCGGACGTCTCGAGCCTGCACAGATGAGGCAATTTGCAAACAGCTACTGTTTTGCACTGACCAGGGCCTAGGTAAAGAAAAGAGCAGCAGGACATGGGAGCAGCACTACGGACGACAACGGCGATAGGTGTAACGATAAAAAAAAAATAACAAAAGCAGAACCATCAACAGCAGCGGTAGATCTGCAAATCATCGCAACTATTACCGCTGCCCAAGTGGCCAAATACATAAATGAGATACATGGACAAGATGACAAAAACTTTGAGGAAAGAGCATGACACTGTTATCAATCATGTGAAAATCACGACCTTCAACCATATATTTCAACGTTGTGGATCGGTGTACCGAAGTAGTGCATTTGTGGTAACATAAGCTAATGAAGAAAGCAGCAGTAACAGCGAAGGGCAGCCAGGCAGCGCGAATGTAACGCCCCGTGCGATATCGATTCGAGACGTACTTTGCAAGCATTTACTGTCTAGTAATATAAACTTGGCTGATCTATATAATACAGAATCTCGAAATTAGTAAAAAATATGATATAAGAAAACTTGGATAACATTACGGAGCGACTGTCAAGGTTGCCGTACAGAGCTTTTTAATCCTCGGAATAATGAAGTACGTCCGGAGCATGCGTAACGGCACACAATAGGTGATAACTAGTGCTAAGGTGACCTGTCAACAGTATTCTTCAGTAGACAATGACCCTTTACGAGCAGCAAGACAGCTTTGTTATCAGAACCGTACTTGTGTGGGTACGGCAGTGTGGCTGGCTAAACACTGCGTACTCGTCTGCTACGCACGACAGAGGGAACATTTAGAGATCTTGCCTCAATCCTACAATGGTAGGGCATATTTTATTTCTTATAAGACGTAATCTTTAGAAGTTAGTTCTACAGCTTTTTTCATGAGGTAAATTTGTGTGAATTGTTTTCCACTGCACTGATTTCCCATTCAAGAGTTGATTATTTGGATTTCATTAGAGCTTAATTTAATTTCTTTTGTTCTTTTACTCACGATAACCCTTATTCGGTGGTTAAAGGAATAATGAAATATTTCGCCGCTATATAGCAGCAATAGTGTAACGCCCTTTTAAGAATCAATACTATCAATAGCAAGCTAACGTTGCGCCCACATGTGACCAAGGACAGGAAGCCTTCGTTTCAAAAAATATAAGAAACAGTCACATGTAACCCTCTGTTTCGGCTCTGATCAAAGTGACAGTCACCTACGCTACTTAGATTTGTTCCATCGTTAAGCGTTTGTAAAGGTCGACGTACTATATGATATCTGGTAGAGCTTTGTCAAGTACGTCCTTTCTGTCAGGTATCATTTTGGGTCTGTGTGTTTGTTTTCCTATGTGCACCGTTCCCCTTTTGTTGGCACGTTACGCACGCCGACCATCTGATTTCACACAGCGATATGCTGCCCCCACGGATAGTGAACAATACCATCGATTCAGAACAATGCCGATATGGCTTCTATACTTAACGAGATGGTAACATTCCCAGCACTACCATTGCAACTGAAGTGACAAACAAGGCCGTAAGATTTCAGCCCAATGTAAAAAAACAACGCAACATCGCATCAACTGATAGTGGGGCTCATTCATCGTATTCTTCCATACAACGTAAGGACCCAACCTTCTTTGGACGTCAGCGACAATACGAAAAAACAGGCCCAAGAAGTCAGCCAAGACGACGCCTCATAGCAACGAAGAAAGCACGTTAAATGCTACTGTATCAACAACAATAGTCTACAAATAGCCAAACTGGCGGAAAGGAGATCGGCAAGGTGTAACTGTCGATATAGGTATTAAGTGGTTAGCAAAGTCCATCCTCCAAAACAGCGACCGCCTTCCAGACGGTGACAACAGTTCGTCTGCTAGCCAGCTACTTTCAGCGTTGTTCGTCAAATGAATTTAGCGGTAGAAAGAATACAGCCCGCTGGAAGATAGCGCATTGTTGCTGCCAGTGGTACTGCTGTTGTCCAACAAACATTCGTAGATAATGTGTAAGAGCGTTTCCAGTCGACGAGCGCTCCCTGGCGGCAGGAAGTCCCCGCTCTGCGTTGATCGCGTTATAGGCTCATTTCTGTGTTATAACTATCGAAGCGGTTAATGCTGCAGTCAGCATTCACTGAGTATCTGTGACATACACGTGCCGAGGACGCACACAGATGCCAAACAAGCTAGAAAGAACAGGAGAATTGAAATAAGTTTAACATTTACTTGCACTACGTGAGTTTGTTTCTTTGCTCCTTTTCAAATGAGCGAAATGATAGCATAAACAAATGATTATAGTAGACCTTCGCACTCAGCACTGCTGTTCTGATTCACGGCATCAGGAACCTAAGACTGTGATTGTCGATCAAGCAGAAATTTTATAACTTGTTTTACCTGCAGAAACGTGGGTAATCACAGTTCGGCGAGAAGACAGATATTGAGGTTGTTAGTAAACGGTTTATGCATAAAGGAGTTATAGTATTTGAATTCAAAAAGACAGTTAGCGACGAAGGCTTCTTCTCCGTTCTGGCTGATAGCAAACTAGAAAAAACAAAAACCAGGTGACGAAGTTGTTCAGGTGTGAACAACAGAACGGTCGGATTGAGGCAATGCTAACGTTGTGACGACCGAGATACATGTCTCGTTGTACCCCGCTGGTCGGACCGACCAATAGGCTACAACTGATGTGGGCTGCTTTCAAACACGAGCAATAATAAACATGGGTTCGAACGCCAAAAGAAACAAAACCATCATTATAGTGATGGGTCGAACGTAGCGATTAGCCAAAGCAGACGGCGCAAATCTACCAACCAACTAGTCAGTTACCGATTCGGTTTAACACCGAATAGACAACGATATAGTAGGAAACAGCACGTTTTCATTGTAACGCTGCAGCACCACCCACAAATCCGGCGGTGTCAACATGCGCGAGTGCCCAGAGCGGACGCACACCCGTGACAACCATAGACTACTTTAGGTATCGAGAGCACAGACGGGGTCTCGTATCAGCTCAGGTATGCATTCAGCAGCAGCAGCAGCATCAAGGCACCGCAAAGTCGCAATACACCCTCAGAGAGCCCAGTGTGGTACGACGCTAGGCTAGCCTTCCTGTTTTCCTCCGCACGCGTACACTCCTGTAGACGACAACACGTCCATCGTCCCACGCATCATTCGGCACACAGTAAGAGCACGGAGTGTCAAGTCTGCATAGGAGGGACTCCTGTGGCGAACTAAAGCTGCATTTGAATGTATGAGGCGCCACAAAGATATACTGCAATGGCAGCCGAGCAAAAGCAAGATGAACAACTGCAACAGCAGTAGCATCATTCAATACGCTGCGTCGTAACGATCTAACCGACAACAAATGACTCGTCGACCAAAGTGCGTACGAGAAACAACGCAGTCGCTATTTGTGCAGGCAGAACAGTCCGGTTAGTGTCCTAAACAGGCTTTCGAGCCTTAACACTATGGTCGTTAGCGGGGTTCAGTCATAGCGATAGTCAGACGATACTTTCAAATAACCAACAACCAGAAGTGAAGCCCTAGCGGGCCCAGGTGTAGCAAACGTTTAGTCTAGTAACAGCACCACATGGAATTTCCTCCAGCAACCATAGAGTATACGAGCGTTGTACACAGACCGCTATGTAACAGTTGGCATATAAAAGAGATTATCGTTCTTGGACCAAACAACAATTCAAGCCCAAAACCAGCGTCAAGTTCCCTTTGTTGGGGCGACTCTAGTTTAAATGACTAAATTAAGTTTTATTGTTTGACCCGCCGGCATCAGGTGCCTGAGATGCACTCAACAGTATGTATCAGTTCGCAGAGCTTCATAGTAAAGCTGAAAAAGAGTTAAAAGACAAACAAACAGGCCGTACGTTTACGTAAGTAAATATATATTTTTGTCTCTTTTGAAGGGGTCCTGTTTTTATTTGTTAATCTATTTCGACCTATTATAGCATTCTGACGGTTACCATTATAAGCCCACCGGCACCGAGCACTCAATTCGCACAGCATCGAGAACAATCTAGGCCTCAGCGCGGCTAGGAGCTTTCAGTCGAATGGGCCTGTTTAGCAGCTCCACTGTGCGGCTATTTGCGGTACATACAACCAATTTTTCATGTCTGTAATAAAAGAGGGCAGCTAGGCTCATAGTTACAATCAATGGTTAAACCCTGCCTAACCATTTACGAAGAACGCGACGAAGTGCTATAAGGGGGCACAAGGCTTCTCTCGACGTTTCTTCAGATCTCTCTTGATGATTTTGAACTGCTAGGGCGACTAAAGGTTGCTTTAGAAGCTGTGGTGTCCTATGACTTGCCTGTCGAGCAGATGAAGCGCGTCATATGAAGACTAGTCGCCCCGATACGATCCGATCTGATCCGATTCGGTCAGACTGCTCAGCCATCGGCGTACGATTCTGCCCCTTTGGGGAGGCGGAGCCTTCAACCCCCAAAAGATTTCAAGGGGCACACCGAACATCTTAGAAGACGAAAACATCGACTTTCACTAATACTCTACCGCAACAACACCCGATCTATAAGCTATGGGCAATCGAACGAAGGGAAAATAGCGGCAATGATGCCATTCAGTCGAACACCTGCTATAATTTAACTAAGTAGCAACAGAAAAGCCGTTTTTATAGGTACTAATTAGGAGTCGAACAGATAATGCAAACGTTGGTTTTTGAGGCCACGTTTATGACGGGATCATACAAGATGTGTGTATGTGGCTGAAGAACAGTTAAGCGGGGATCGTCTCATCGTTCACACTTGAGGTTTTTCTATTTAATGTCGTGCCAATCACATAAGCTGTTGTTCGAAGTAATATAATTCCATATAAGTTTGTCTATATAAATTAAAAAAGACATGTTCTAGTCTCAAATTTTTGATTATCAGTTGATCGTTCATCTTGTTTTGGTTTACACGAAGTGTATATATTGTGACCCATGAATTTGTCAGATGATCACTACGTTTTTTTTCATACTGCTTTTGATTCTGCATGCGCTTCGTGTTTTATGCATCTAGTTTTGTTCCTCGATTTTCTCCTGTTAACAGCATAACATCGGTGGCATGGCGACCTTTGGCTCGTACATGCTCGATGTACCGACCACCATCCGTCGTCCCACAGCATCTTCTGACGAAGACAGAGATACAATATGAAATTGTGCTACTCGTTTAAACGTCGCAATTTTTTGCTGCATACATAAAAGCGAACAACCGAGCACGCAGGCAAACCGACCAAACAAGCGATCAAAAGTCGCTTATTGGAGGACCATTTCTTAGAGCTGGCCGCTATCGCCGTCGTCATAACCGCAAACGCCAGCAGCCCGGCGACGTCGCGCGCAGTTCGATCGAACGAGGTAGAGACTGGCTCACTTCGAAGAAAATGTCAACGGACGTAACTCGTTGTGGCGGTGGTGTGCCGTGACTGGTTTCTGGCGTTCGTTGTAGATTGAGTCAGTAGCGTTTTACTTTACTGTGTCGTCGTCGTCGATCCGGTGAATTGGTCGATCCATCGCTGTGCGTTGTTACAGCGGTAGACGGCGCCAGTTCTTCTGGATTTTCTTCTCCTGTTTCAGTTTCGCATACCGCCGTTTGCTGGCTTTTGTTCTAACTAACTGAGTTTGCGTCCAGAATTGCCATTAAGCGTTGTTTCAGACGGCTCTTAGCACAACACAATTCGTCTACGCCCGCACTCGAACCCAGGCCACCACCTGTACCTAGATTTTATATGAAAACAGGTTACCACTGCACCATCACAGGGACTTGAGTGTCGCCCACGGTGCGTTTACTTGCTACTATTCATTACTTCAATACGTACTGCGCAGCTCCTACCTATAGCACCCGTCGGGTATTATCTTCATAATGACGGACAGCGAGTAAACAATACTCTCCGTTTGCATACATTGGCGTCATTGTTGTCGCCCCGACCGATGTCTACTGCTAGCAAGCAACGCCTATCAAAATGATCGACGCCATTTTGTGGCGTCGTCATCAGCCTCGCTGTTGTGGTTGGTGGCTCAGGAAACGACAGCAGCAATCGAAGTACTAGTCGTAATAGATCGTTCCTATATCAA